ATCATTTTCTGACAAACATTACGTCTATCGTTGCGTGTGGGGTAGGCGAACTTTGCCCGGACAGCGTCGTTTCCAGGTACTCTTTCTTCTTCGATTTTCAGATGATACTGGCTCCTGTACGTGCACACCCATACGGTGTACATTGGTAGATCTCAGATGTTTGTCTAATCAGAATTAAAAAATAATACTTCCATCGACATATAAGCGGTGTCTAAACCAAGAATTGGTTCGCCACTAAGTGTTTGCATCTAGAATTGGGATATGACTGATTTTGTGTTCGACAGTCGACAGCAAAATTAGTGAACAAACCGGACTTCCGCTTAATATTAGATTTTTGGACTCTTTTTCCCTCGGAGTCAAAAGATTTTCTGGATAAAAAGGGTATGGTGACTAGTGTTGTGAATCCCACATATAAAATATCTTACTCTGTTTATGTGTGTTGGGGGATGGGGGGGGGGGTGGAGGAGACGGTGTTATTTCTATTTTGGAGGATCGCTGTTATATTATAATTAGAGAACAAACTGCCAATGAGTTTGTATTCAATTTTTCATATTTTTTCTTTTATTCAGATTTAAAGATCAACCATCAGTTGTACCAACAGATCAATATTTGTATTCCTACAACCCATGTTTACCATTTACCCAAGGGACCTGTGCTGGTGTCTCGGTATGTAACTTCAATATCTAGTGTAAAGCCCCTGTGCACCAGAATGCCAAGTATCATTTTCCATATTAAATTTATCAAAAATAGGAACTCCGGAGTGTTCATTAGATACTGATCAAGATGAATAATTCAAATAGGTTACGTGACATTAATGTTCGTGGATAGAAATGAACCATCATTCAGGTGTCGGCAGTAAAAATAATGACTGCAAGAAAGCAACAGAAAGAGATAGGTAATTTAGATTGACAAGATTTCCGCTAGGACTGATCGATTTTCGATCAATGTTTTTTCTCGGTAAGATTAATAAATCTTAATTATGTAATTCCAAAAAATGTCAGACAAGGTAAATACGCTCTAATGTCACATTCTGGGTTGGCTTTACATAAATCAGTTTATATATACATTGTCCTGTGAAGTCTAGGATTGTTCTTTTAATGAATCCCGACTGTTCGACACGATGTCGATATCAAGAGCTCTTTTCCGTCTTTACTAAACAAGTAAAAACCTGTTCGCATCTGCACTCGCATATAATTTTAATACTAACTTTAGACCCAATGTTCTAGCAGTTTATATTCTTTAAGCTTAGACCAATTACATGATGTGTATCTGTAAAACAAGAACTTTCTTATTGTCTTAAAATCATGCATATATAATTTGATCAGTGTACCTCTTATAGTTTCATACAATATTACCTGTTAATAATTGTAGCTATACAGGACAGGATGACAGTTACAATCAAAGTTGTCACTGATTTTTTTTAAACTTATATATACTATTCAAAAAAAGTAGGGGATATTTGATTTTGGGGGCATAATACTAAAATATGCAAATGACTACGAAAAAAGTCACTCTAGAACCTAACAGAAGAAACATTTCCAGTTACATGTGACGCCCAAACGCACCAATAGCTACCGCATGGAATGCAGGTGATGCTTGGGATCATCATGGGGGTCCAACCCAAGATTTGCACGACTCTGACTTTGAATGTTACAGTCATTGTGGCATTGAATTCCAGGGTGGAAACATCAGTTTAATTGTTTTAGTGACCAGAAAACAAATTTTGATATGCGTCGGCTTACCCAAAATGAAAGGTTACGTGCCCTTGGCATGCTACAGATCGGCACAACACAGGCGGTTGTGGCGCGGACGATGAATGTTTCTCAGTCTGTCATAAGCAGGCTATGGTCCAGATACCGTGATACACAATCTGTACAGGACAGACCACGCTCAGGTCGACCAAGGGCGACAACTCAAGCCCAGGATCGATTTATCCGTACCTTGGCCTTGAGAAATCGTGTCATCACAGCAAATCAGATCAGCGCTCGTCTTCAAACAGACACTGGTGTGAGAGTGAGTGGCCAGACGATTCGGAATCGACTGCATAGGGGTCACCTTCGCGCCCGACGTCCTCGCGTGATCCCTTGTTTGAGAGATCATCACATTCAGGCAAGACGTCGTTGGTGTAGGGATCGTCAACACTGGGATAATCGACGCTGGAGCAATGTGATGTTTTCAGATGAGTCAAGGTTCACTGTTGATTTTTTGGACAGACGTAGGAGGGTGTGGCGTCGTCAAAACGAGCGCTTCCAAGACGTTAACGTCATCAGACATGATCGATTTGGGGGTGGTTCTGTTATGGTGTGGGGAGGCATCACTGTTGCTGGAAGAACGGCTTTACATGTTGTTGCAGGGCGTGTTACAGGCCAGTCTACCGGGACAACATCTTGGCAGTCCATGTTGTGCCGTTCGCACGACGTCATGGCCGCCGTTTCATCTTCCAGGATGACAACGCAAGATGTCACAGGGCCAGGATCGTTACAGGTTACCTCCAACAACAGAACATCACCACATTACCTTGGCCAGCACTGAGTCCCGACCTCTCCCCCATCGAGCATGTCTGGGACATGCTTGGACAGAGGTTACGTCAACGTCAACAACGTCCTGCCAATGTCCAAGAACTTGCTGCTGCGTTGCAACAGGAATGGGACAATCTGGACCAAAATGACCTTAGACGTCTCATTAGGAGTATGCCACGTCGGATCAATGCTTGTTTGGCAAACAGAGGAGGATTTACCCGTTACTGACTTGGTTGTGATGCTGTGGTAACTTTGCTGTTTGACCCCGGGTATCATTTTACCCTTATAATGGTCAGTCTGTGCCTTACTTAGTCTAACGATCATTTGGAATAAATCGATGAATGTGAACTTCATTTCATTTTGTCATTTGTTTCTTCGTCAGTTTCATTAGGTGACTTTAATAACACTTAAAAATCAAATATCCCCTACTTTTTTTGAATAGTATATCAGGCTTGCCAGAACAGTTTTGATACCGAGTACTATATGCTCGGCGATCAGACTAGTGCACAATGGTCATATGATGGTACTAATATACAAGTTTACTATTCTAAAATGCAAGAAGGTGTTTTAAGGTACTGAAATGTTCTCTTTTTTTTTCTTCGTCATGTTTGTGACTATGTTGTTTTACAATACAATATGTGGTGTAGTTGGCATTCCCCCGATACCCACATTCTCCGACCGGGTTAAAGGAAGGCCCGTGTTGATTTTTGAAGATTTCCAATTATTTATTTGAAGTTATTCCCTGCCAACGCCCCCAGGTTCGCGAAAATTCAGAAAATTAAGATTGGATCTCAATGAAATTTGATGAATTGTTTCAGCCATTGATTTACCAGCTAAAAGATAAACGAAAATAATCATGGTCGCATATTGTGTCTACAATAATCAATATATTTTTTCGAAAATCATCTCCAGACGAAGATGCTTAATAGATCTTAAGCAAATATTCAACATCCACTCAAAACTTCAAAATCTTTCACACGCCCAGTTTGCCGTGTTCCGCCCACCACAACACTGAATACCCGCAAACACCCCCCAAAAGAGTTTTGTTTGTCTTTTGCCATAGATAATGTTTAATCCGTATCATGTCATTTCGTTTTCAGAGAAAGTTTTGTTAAATATGTATGTGATACTAATGCTAAAAGTCCGACAATGATAGTTGATGGCGAACTAGGCCCAGCTCAATTTGTAAGTTATAGTTTTATATATTTTCTTTTAAATGTCAGAGAAATATTCGTCACTTTAACGCTTGGCCCTCACTAAATATCGAGAGTAAGCTATGCAAGTTGTCTTGTCTGCGATATGACCTTGGTGGACGCGGGTGTAAAATAAAGCTATTTCACGCATGTAAGCTGTCGAACTTAAAGGGCCAATCTCGATTATATTTTGGAGAATAAAACTGCTTAATTTTGTGTTAGAAGCCCTTAAAATGAACTACCTTAATGCCGAGCAACTAAGTCAATATACGTGATACGTTTTCAAACAACTTAACCCGCCAACTTCATTTGGAAATGGAGACCGGTGTCCCCAGTTGTATTATACGGTGTCTGGATAAAACCAGGCTTTTATTTTATAAAAATAACGTGTTGTCAAGTACAGTGTCAGTATATGGGTCATGCACTGAAAAGAAACAGCAATAGATAATCAGGTCAACCAACGAAATAATTGAACCGAAATCTTAAAAGGGTTACATTACATGTCCGGATAAGTGGTTTTGACGTTCACCTCCAAACGACTATATATTTTGAGCTGAAATTTTGAGACAAAGTAAATACACCATTCCTCTATATTGTGGCGCTTAAATGTCATACGAATACAGATTTTTATTTCTGAGACTCTGTTAAAATCGGGATGGTCCCTTTAATATAGACGACGATCGTTAGATTTAGTGATTATTGGATTCCATCTACCTTGAGAAATTTAAAGCTATTGGATCAGTCCATACAGGTTATCACATTGCGATGCTTATGTAAATATATAGCAAGATTCTTATACTTAAAATATCACTGGAGCAATGCCAAGATTCTACAACATAATCAAGGACAGTAATTCCCGGTGTAATTATAAGAAATTCAAACAAACAACAAGTATATCAGATGATGACATTTGCTGATAGAGCTTTGACGCGAGCCAGGGCAAAAAGTCCAGATGTGATTAACATCAATACTTGAAATTCTAAAGGTTCTACTGATCTGAACAATGTATATAAACTTCAAGCAGATCAGATGATAGCTGTTGAAAAAGGAGTATTTACAAAAAAAAAAAACAAGGGTGCCAAATTTAGAAGTAATTAACGGCAATTATTCAAATGGCTTTCTTTGGCTCGCTATCTAAAGTGTGAGCGTTTAATATGGCCAATGAAAGAGTTGAACAGATTGGAATACGCTATATAACAGATAATGTGTGACACAGAGTTCGACAGTTGTAATAAGCTTGTTATGTATTTGCTACTCACTGGGCAACATTATAAAGTAGTGTTCTGGATAGCCAATATTTTGTTTTTTAACTTGTAGTATATGACGGTAACAACGGTATGTGCTTGTCCTAATGGTTGTGTTGATAGTTCTAATATAGTAGTAACAGTAGATGTAGGAATAAGTACAGGAACTGTACTAGATATATTGTAAGTATCAGATAAAACTACTTGATTATCACAGCTAAAAACCTGCTAGATCTATTTGTTAAGGCCAACTTAATTTTCGTCATGGTCGTGATTGTTGGCGAGATTGTAGGTTACGGTTAGAGTAAGCAATAGGGTTAAGTTCAGGGTTGGGTTTAGGATTGGAATAGTGCTAGCCCTGTTTACATTTCGTGACCTTTGACCAAACTTGAAGTTGGCCTTATCAAATAGATCTAACCCTAAAACCCCCGAGTTTATCATTTCCGTTACATTTAAATAGCCCCACGTTCGTATTTCCGTTGCGGGTTGGGTGACCGAAAGGCTAACGCGTGCGCGTTGTATCATAAGGGCTGTCATTGAGTCGAGTGGCGTGGTATGAATTCCCCGCTTGTACGTAACAAGGAGTAGGGTCGCCTTATCAACCTCGCTGGTTTTCACTTGGCCCTCCGGTTTCCTTCCACTGCTAAAGACCCCTACGCGCAAGCGAATTACGGAAATAAAACTAAACCTGATATTAGTTTCGAAATGACCTAGTTTGCGTCGAGTGGACGTTCATCCCCATTTCTCTCTCACTCTCTCGTACTTTCGTACTGTATTTGTTTTATATTTCGAGGCGATGGTCGAGTGATCTTACACATTCTTCGCTGTATTAATAAAGCCTGTTTTCTATGCAAGGCTTGGGTTCGTATGTAACACATTTAATGAGTAACGTTAGTCCTGATATGACCTATTTAATGTTGAGTGTTTGGTCGCAATACATCAGGTGGGTCACAATACTGTTTCATAAAGACAATGAAACTATGGCAACATGATAAACTAGTTCTTAGCTGTCACAAAACAATTTCAGTGTGAAAAACAAACGCTGGCGTTGGTCGGGAAACTTCTTCGGAATATTTCAACCGGGTCATCTAGTGCCATCGGTGCAGGACAGTACACAGGGCCTGCTAAGGGACAGCGTCTAGTTATTCAGATGGCGCAATAAACTGAGGTCCCGTGTACATGAAAAAAAGGTGGCGAAAAAGTTCCTGCCAAGCAAAATTCCCCACCTTACCATTGTACAGATGGCCGTAAATTGTACAGATGACCGTCCATTGTGCAGACCACCGTCCATTATCAGATGACCGCCCATTGTGCAGATGACCGTCTATTGTGCAGATGACCGCTTATTGTATAGATGACCATAGTAATGAAGATAGTTATATGTTAGTCTCAAAATAGCTGATGCATTGTGTGCTGACGAAAATCAAAACTCCATTTCCATAGTGTAAATACTTCCTATACATGTTTGAATATTTCAGATTTATAGTGGGGATATTTATATATGTAGCTGGGGGTATGACCTATATGAGGGTAAGGAAACAAGCCAGTGGAGTGGAGATGTTACCTAACAGAGGTTTCTGGACAGCACTACCAGGATTAGTAAAGGTAAGAAAATTACTGACTAAATCATGTCTTCACTCCGACATGAAATCATAGACATATGAATTGAGTGAACTTAAAAAATGTATTATTAATCTCAGATTCGTAAACATTTCTCATCGCTATACCGTCCGTCAACAACCGGCTTATGAGGGGGATAGAGACTTCAGTTATTAGTGGATTCTTTTCAAATTTGGTGTCAAGTATTGTGGACAAGAGAGGGCGAACCCTATTGAATATTCAGCGCGTTCTGCGACCTTTCATACCAGAGTTATGTCCCCCCCCCCCTTTTTCCGAAAACCTTGTGATCGCCATACATACAATATTCTTTTAAAGGGATTACTTCAAATTTTGGTGGGAAGCTTTGGTGTCATGAGAGGACGAAACTTGTCAATATAAAGCGTTCCGCTATGTTCCGTTCCGGAGTTACCCCATCTTTTACCAAAAACCTTGTAAACGCGATAGAGGCTACAGTTTTTAACATACTGGGTTAATTGGTTTTTTATTTAAAATTTGGTGTAAAGCATTCAGGTAACGAGGGGACGAGTACAACTTTTCGTTCCGCTTGCAATAGGGGTTACAGTTTTTTACAGATTAGTTCAAATTTGATGTGAAGCATTGGGTCACGGGGGCGAACAGTATCGATATGCAACATGTGACATCCTTCAGTTCCTGACTTATAAACCTCTTTTTCCGGAAACGTTGTGAACATGATAGAGGTTATACATTCTTCAATCGATTTGTTTGAAATCTGGTGTGAAGCATAAAGGTCATGAGAGGTCGAGTCAAGCCCTATAAATATTCAGCATCCTTCCTTTCCGGGGATATCCTCCTTTTACGCAAACCCTGTGAACGCGATAGAGACTACAATTATAACGGATTTGTTCAAGCTTGTGGCCACGACAGAGATCAAATTACCTGAAGGCATAAAGGAACCGTATCAAATTTGGTCAACAACCAAGTTCTCCTTTCGGATGAGCTGCTCTCAAGACATAGCTGCTGTGTGGTCGTGTTTCCACGCTTTGTGTGTCTGTCGTTTGTCATTAATATTTTATATTTCCCATATTCTCTTATCTCTTACAGGACGGCTGTGTTTTTGTTGTATCAAAAGTAAGACCTAAACGTTCAACGTACGACCAGGTGTAAATAATCTTTAAACTCATCATCATGTATTTAATGTCAGAACATGGCATGAAAAAACAATTGGCTAATATGTGTAATTTTGACTGAAAACATGGAGTGATATCAATGAAGCGTTTATTCAGTTTCTTTCCAAAAATTATCAAAATACAAATTATCATGATTTGGATATCGATCGTTCCTTCGTTGTCGAAATATTTAAAGCTACGTTACCAGAAATTATATAAAATAATAATTGAATTGTATAAAGCCTGTAGATTCTGTATATTTAATACATTAATTCAGTCTGAAAATAATTTTAACAATATACAACCTGAAGTATAAATTGTTTCGTCTTTAAATATCGGTGTAACATGCGGACTGTGAACAAGTGATTGTAAATAAACAAAGCCGTGCATCATATAGTACTCACTCCTTCTGCTCGAAGATTGTCAAGGCGTGTGTGGGTGGTTTGTTTGTTTACAGTGACCACCAGTTTCCCTCATAATGTCATGTTGATTAACTGCGAAACCATTTCTACTTTGTACTGTGCCTTATTGCCATGTAATGAATAATATAGAAAAATGCTGATGTTCTCCTTTAACTCTCTGATTGTGTTGTAGTTTATAAACTGTTGTGTCCTGGCTGCAATTTGTAACGGGTATCTTTCACGAGGCATGGCATGCCTACTGTCTCCGGAACGACTGATGCTAACTACTAAGGGGGGGGGGGGGGTCTTGGGGCATTTGAATTTTTTTCTGTTGCACTTTTTGCACCCAGTTGTTGTTTTGGTTTTGTTTTTGTAATTTACTTTACAATGTTTGTGGTGTATGCCTGTGTTGTTTGTTCTGTCTGTATTTTGTTGAGAATTTCTGCTGTACATTCGATTGCAATATTTTACTTATACCCGTATTATGTTCATAGTGTAATAAACAACAATTCATGTATTTTAAGTAGTTCTTTGGTATGTTTTACAATATAGGGTACAAAGGTGAGTTCGCCCGAAACGTTGGTGGATTATGAACTTTGTGCGACTCTATAGGTCAAACACTTTGGGGTACGCATAATAGTAGAGAAAAAAAAATCACGTGGTGCGCCTAATAGTACAGAAAATAAACCCACGCTGGTACTACTAGTAGGTCTGTTACTGAGAGAGAGAGGGTTTAAAGTCCACTCGACACAAACTAAGTCATTTCAGGACTAACATACGGTTCAATTTTATTTCAATGGCTCGCTTCCGAGTAGGTCTTTAGCTGCCGGAAGAAAGAGAGAGAGAAATGGGGTTTAATGTCCACTCGACACAAGCTGGGTCATTTTGGGACTAACATATGGTTCACAATGGGGTCTTTAGCAGTGGGAAGAAACCGGAGAAAACCCAGGGGGTTGGGCAGTTGACCATACTCCTCGTTATGTCCAACTGGTGGGCAAATGTTTGTGACATTACACAATGTGAACGTCTAGATGGGGATAACATAAATTTCTTAACCAGCTCCTCTTTGCTATACATAACCAGATATATTTTATTTATTGTTAATTTTTTATTGCATTCAGATACAAAACACAAGACAACAATGAGTTCATTTAGACTTCTACAATTGATAGAAACCTTATAGTCAACATTAGTTATAGATTTAATATTTTATCTTTATAAGAATTAAAATATCTACATAATTCAGTCATGTATACACAATTTTATTTTAAAACAAAACAAATACTTGTAACCTTCATCGTTTTTATTTCTCATGTTTGTGGTCCAGGCCTTTGCCTGTCAATCAATATCTTTCAAATGCAGGGTTCAATTGAACTCTATTCAGTGACTCCTTGCATCCATAAACCAATATTTTTATGTTAACTGCTGCACTCAATGTCTACATTACAATAAAACATAACAAACATGATTTATAAATTGCATTAAAGAGTGGGTATACATGTATAATAAAATGTAACTTTTCAAACTCCAGGGTTAAAGTTGTCATATTAACTTGGTTAAAAAGCAAGATGTTCATTCAGTGAACTAACTGATATCTCAGCCACATATATACTCTATAACCTAAGTTCAAGTATTTGTGAAAGGATCTGGATTTATTCCTGGAATACATCTGTACCTAACATCACAGCACACCCACCCCTCATAACTTTACACACACACACATTTAAAAAGGCTGTTCAACCCTTTCAAACGTTTTCTTCACCAAAATTCTGTTTGCTCAATTGCTCTATATGTTCACAATGGACACTAATTAACAGCCAGTAATATTTTAGAAATTGATAATACACATTCTGACCATTATTCTCAGAAACAATTTTATTGTTTATAATAACAAAATCATTTAATTTCAAATTAAATATCTAAAATTTAATAATATTTCACCCACTCTTACTTTATTTTGTCCACTTTCCTAGTTTTTTAACTTCCAAATTATTCCAGTGTCCACACTTCTTCAAATTATTGGTTTTAAAACATTTATATTATAAACATAATAGACACAAATAAATAAAACTAATGTTTATATACTAATAGAGGTAAAGAGAGGTAGGGAGGGTTTAGGATGAGTACATTTGTTAAAACATCTCTATAATCTCTATTTATGTTCAATGTTTACACTGTATAACTTTGAGTAATATTATCCTGTTTCTAATTAATGAGAGAAAGACAATTATAGAATAAAAAATATTATCATTCTTCATATATTAAAGTAGCTAAGTCTCTAACTCAATATCATCCAAAACCTTCGACAATGAAAACACGAATTATTTGTCAATTTTAATCAACATTGGTGTTGTGATCTTACCGGAAAAAGATGGGCTTCTGATATCTAATATTTAAGACAAAAAAAACATATTACGATTGGTACACGAATCGTGTACCATAATGCGTTTCAGAGCAATTTGTAGCAAGCGACTCGAAGAACGAGGTTAAACATGTTCTACAAGTCATGTCAAACGGTGACCCCCATATTCGTATCTGGAGAACATGCGCAATAAATACTATCGGTGTAGACTAGAATAACCAGACACTAGAGATTGCCATTGGATTGAAACCTCTGGCGTATTTCGCCGAACATAACTGCTTTGAAATTAGAGTAAAAACGGGAACGATTGAATGTAAATCAGTTTATTTACATTCATATTACATTATTATATACATAGCGACCCATTTGTGTCAATTTGTAGGTCCCAAAATATTAGCGATTTAGCTCCTTTAAACTCAATTTAAATTGGTTTAACAGATGAAGAAAATAATAATAGTTTAAAAACTCTTATTATCATGTTTTTAATGAACAATAAAAATAAAATAATAGACTATAAATATATTATGTAGATAAGATGAGATTTTCTCAAGCATCACATAAGACATTGTTTTGATGTTAACAAATTTCATGTCAATGATTATTTGTATAGAATCTTGACCAACACTAGCCTTAATCAGTCCTGCCCACACTGTCTCAAGCAATGGATATTGATATTGGTCTGAAGGAAATATACTCAATAGTGGATATAGTAACAGGTTGTATATATATATAGTTCATACAATGATATATAGGATAGGAATTGATGTCTCAATCTACTAGCTAACAATGCATTCTGGATACTTTTAAACATAGGTCAAGGTCAAGGGTCATACTTATATTAAAGAGAGAGAGAAATGGAGTTTAACGTCCACTGGACATGTGTCAGGCCTAACATGTGGTTCAATTTTATTTCAATAATTCACTTGTGCAGAGGGGTCTTTAGCAGTGGGAGGAAACTGGAGGAACCCGAGAAAAACCACGAGGTTGGAAGTAAACCCTAAGTCCTTGTGATGTACAAACTGGGAATCGAAATCACGCCACTTGACTTGACAAGACCTTTGACGTTGTACAGAAAATTAACATTGTTGTTGCGCATTAGGCAATCTGTACTGGAGTGATCAAGGCTATATTATCAAAGGAATATTTCATTATCTTACATAAATACTAAGAAATGTCAAAAAGTTCTTGAATAAAAAGTTTGACACTCATGGATTATTAACTTAAAATAAAATGTAAAAAATATCCTGACAAAATGTTAACTATAGGTAAGTGTTAAAAAAAAGAAATCTGAGTGAAAACTTTAAACTCTTTTCAGAAACATAATTGTGTTGTTTACTTATTTCTACACATGGAAAGTGACAACCAATATAAAACTTGTAAAAAGATTACAACATTATTTTGAATATCTATAATACATAACCATAACCAACAGTAAAAATACTGTTGTATGATTATAGTGTCTATACTATCAAACAAAAAATTATAGAAACAAGAATTTCACCCAATCATCAACATCTTACTAATCTCAGCCTACTATTTTTTTCAATTAACCATTGATCTTTTCCATGGATGGTAAAATTTACAAAGAAGGACAATTATGTAGAAAAAAATATGATTATTAGTGGGAATGGGTGTAAGAATATGGCAGTAAATAGCCACCATAAGTACAATATGTTACCTGGGAAATTGGACACTTATAATCTTCAATATGTTATTAGTAAAACTAGAATTTTAAAATCTATCTTTTTCGGCATTTTAAAGAAGCTGTCCCAAGGCCTGAATTCAGTTCATAAAAAAATGACCCCCAGGTGAATAATCTTAACTTAGAATTTTTTGCATTTGACTGACTATCCATATCTTTAAGTAGTTAACTGAATATGAACCCTGATATGTTTTACCTAATAAAACTGCTTATATCTGCCTGAAACCATTATCCTATACTCAAGATAATTATATAAAGAAATACAAGGATTTAATTATCATCTGTAGATCCTGCTAACTATTTCTATAAGCTGATGTTAAAGTGATAGTCACTGTTATAAGGTCAATAATTACAATTACAGCAAATATAATATCACAGATGTCTAACCCTGTTAAATAATTTTGATTTTGAATTTAAAATTTCAGATTAGAAGGTTAATTGGATTAATATCTATATTTTTACTCTGTGAAAACCGTGGCTGATATTTATTTAGCTTGTACTATAGTACATTATATCCATTCAACAGATTATGGTATAAAAGTTACATTATGGTGTCTACATGTAACATGAGACAACAATAATAACAAATTAAGTCAAATTTGTTTCTATAGAAACATAAAAAATGATTAAATCTGTGATCTTTCTAATAAACAAAAGGTTGATGCGTGTTCAAAGTTTTATAAAAAAAATATATTTTACAGGTTTATGGGAAACAAAACTGGAATTGAAGGACTTAGCCCATTTTAATACCCCTTCGTAACTTTTAGAGACAGCTGTAACATGTATATCATTACAATCAACTCTTCTAGGTGACTACAAGGGCTATAACAATATCTCAATCTCTCATAAGATGTGTGGTGTTGATACCTCAATCAGTTATAGAATATTGTGGCAGCAATACCACCAGTTTCTATACTTAATCTGAGATACCTTAATCCTGATTCATATTTCAAGAAACAATTCAAGATGTAAACAAAAGAAAGCAGGGTTGTAGCTCAACTGAGTGTCAGTCCAGTAAACTCTATACTCGTAGTAGGATATACAATAAATACTGACTGGTTTCTTGCACAAGGCAGGGTATGCTTCCTGTTTTTGAATATATTGTCCAATACTACTTCTCATTCAGTAGGGAAATTGGGAGAGTTTATTGTCAAGCTAGTTGCAGAGGTCATTTGCATAGGAAAATTAAAACTATTGGAAATTTCAATAATTTTACATCTAACCCCTAGCCCAAGCTAGACATTCACAAGGCATTCCGTTAAGACCACATGAACCAGTTATCAGCAGTAAACTTAAACAATGGATTGGTATATAATTGGAACTTGTCTGACAATATACTGGAACTCTAGCCGAGAAGTACATCTAACTATTTCTATTGATACGTACATTAAAATTCTCATTAAATATACATAAACACACAAGTTAAAACTTGATCACTCTGTATACATTAAATATACATAAACACACAAGTTGAAACTTGATCACTCTGTATACATTAAATATACATAAACACACAAGTTGAAACTTGATCACTCTGTATACATTAAATATACAGGTTAATTTAAAATCATACACCAAAATGGTATACTTCTGTCTCTAACACACATGCTGTTGAAATCTCATTTACTCTTGAAGAGTTCTCCTGAAAGTCTGAAATTAGGCATCCACAGTTTCTTCTCCTAGTATTCCAGTTCTCTGAATTATTCACACCACAATAAACTAATGTATTAACTACCATACCTAAAGTTATCACAACTGAAACTTGTCTCTTATTTTTTCCACTATGTCCATACGCCCAATTTCATCACTTCCCAATACTCTTAAAAGTTCCTCAATTTTGTCATCATCCGAGTTATTGGAGCTATCCTTCCATTTACGTAAACAGTTTAAGATCTGTTTGTATGTTTGATTAGGATTATCTAGCTGAATGACTTCTATATGGCTCTGTGCAATACCAAGTTGACCCATCACCAATGACCAATTAAAACCAAGATCTGAGGCTATAAAAGCCAATCCTGCTTCAGATAACAAAACTGCAAAGACAATTTCAGAGTAAAAACAAAAATGAGGTTTTGTGTCTCATTGACAACATTTTGATCATTGTGAGACTAATACGTATATCAATTTATGATTTCTAAGGTTATGTTAGTTAAATTTCTACTGAGACTGTTTTGGCTTGAAATTAGTTTGGTTTGAATTGAACACATTTTCTATCCTCACTTCTGAGACAATAGTACTGGCCCATATTCGAAGCACTCAACTTTCCAGTTGGAACTACAATCTTGGCTCACTGGAAAGTTTATTTATTTCGCTACACAATAACCAAAATTTGATCTGTTGGTCAGAGCTGTATCAAATTTCATGTGGTATGTTTTAATAATATTGAACGAAAAATTTGCCAAAGCAGTTATAAATAGTAGCCTACTCTTCTTCTTCATGAGGGTTTTTACATGATAGTTTGACCTCATTCTTGACTAGAAAGCGTCTTCTTGTAAACCGCAGAAAACCACACCAGTGTTAGAATATCAGTAGGCCTAGTATAATATGTACAAGTATCTTTGGAGAAATTAGTCCGGGAGCTAGGTGGGTTTTCTTCAACATGGAAGGTGCGGAAGGTTTGGCATGCTAGTGGTGTATGGCTGGGCTAGGAGACCCCAGAAACCCAATTCTTAAGTTGCGCCAGTGGTGGGTGTGGTAGGAGGAGCCACCCATGGTACCCCCCAAAATGGGTTTATTCAACATGGAAGGTGCAAGTTCCACTTCAATGGCATTTGATAGAGGAATGTGCCCTGAATTCGGAAATATAACTTAAGAATAGGATTTTTTTGTTTATTGACTCCAGGCTAATCTTAAAATTTGACATCAAAAAAACTGTTTAGCAAAAAGGAGATCATTGTACTTTATTTGTGCAATTTAAAGAGCGGGTGAAATGGGGATTAATGTCCACTCGATACAAACTAGGTCATTTCGAGACTAACATATGGTTAAATATATTTCAATAATTCACTTGCGTGTAGGGGTTTTTAGCAGTGGAAGGAAACCAGAGGACCCAGTGGAAACCAACAAGGTTGGACATGCGACCCGACTCATTGTCACATATAAGCTGGAATTGAAACCACTCAACAACAGACCTTGTGATATAACATGCACACATGTAAGTAACCATTCGGCGAGTGTAATTTAAAGAGAGAGAGAGAGAGAAATGGGGTTTAATGTCCACTCGACACAAACTAGGTCATTTCGGGACTAACAAATGGTTTAATTTTATTTCAATAATTCGCTTGCGCGTAGGGGTCTTAAGCAGTGGGAGGAAACCGGAGGACCCGGAGAAAACCCATGAGGTTGGACAGGCGACCCTACTCCTTGTCACGTACAACCGGCGATTCGAAACCACGCCAGTCGACTCAATGACAGACTTTATGATACAGCGTGCGCACGCTAACCATTCAGCCATCCACCCCCCCTGTAATTTAAAGCTAAGAAAATGTTTGGATTGGATCAAAACAGTGAGTCACATTAGCATTAATAAGAGTTCCAGAAACAATTAAATACATGTAAACTAAGTGATTGTCTCATTGGAATTCTCCACTAATAACGTATAAACAGAACATACTACATGTAATTGATGAAATTAACCTGAACATCTTATTATAGGCTTCAGGTTAACACAAACTACAATACTTATACTGTCTTCTGATCTTACACAATGTATTATATATATCAAATAAACCACTAAAAACATATCAGTCATTATAAAAATATTTTAAGTTGTATACCTGATTTACAACTCATTCCATCTACATCATCAAGAGTTAAACTTGACATCAAAAACTCAGTAGCAGCTTTCATATGTTTCTGTAAATCAACTTGATCTTCTGGGGTATAAAAAAATAACAAAAGGAAATGTGAAAATAGGCTTCATTTTAAATTTCTGTGTAATTTTTAATAAGTCTGAAGCCACATGCACCTGTATGAGAATCTGGACAATCATGGTGACTGAATTTTAAATGTCGGCATTTTAGCTGATTTAACATCACTTATTCAACAAGAAAAATACCCAAGAAATAACTCTTTAATAAAAGAAATCAAAAGAAAGTACAATTTTGATAAATCAATATCATAAATCTTGCCATTAAAACGAGAAGATGATGACCTGATGATATGACATCCCGATCATTTCAATCTATACATGTATATCTATCCAACACTCTATATATTGAAATTGTTTTTAAACTCTAGCTGAATTTCTTTTTGTTAATTCATCATAGCTTTGACCAAATACTTATCTATAAACAAACTTCAGAAGTATTAAAACAAGTGAATTTTAAAGCTTACCTTGGTCTAGAGGATAAACAAAGCATGCTGGGATATCTTTGTTTTGAGCTTTCTTACACCAGTTTGCAACGTAGACGTTTTTAGGAACTGTTAACTGGAGCACTTCACCCGGGAATCGGAAAGGATCTTCTATATTATGCAAAATACAATGGCTACATACTAGACTTAATTCAAACCTAATAAATGGCCATTCTTGTAACAAGTTTAACAAATCCGATTTGGTTTTCAGAATAAGTCCCCACATTTCTTGTAAGTCTGATCCACGCACTGACACAGAAACAAACGTGGAACCGTCCACTGTTTTTCTCTTGACTAGCACTTTAGATAGATTTTTACGACCTAGAACTCCATACTTCCAGTTGATTCTGTCCGTGAAATAATTATGAAGTCGAACAGAAAATTTAGCAAAGAAATGTGGTGGTCTCTTATTCGTAAAATGTAAATGATAACAAAGTTCAAATTGATTTTGTGGTGTACGCTCCGGCCACGCATTTTGGACACTGTCTGGCATTTCTGGTTTGAAAAACCAAGGAAACTGCAAAATGCATACTGATGCTAGGCGATTTGGTGATAATGCTGATTTGGTAACCTCAAAGCACAGATCAAACTTCAACATTAATGAGATAAAGGTATCCAAATCATCGGATGAAAGATCAAAATGTAACAAACAGTAATGAAGAAGTTCATATGACATCAGTCCTTCTTCTAGAAAGTCTTCTTTCAGGGAATCAAATCTATTTCTGGTCAAACCAGCACTGTTACCATGAATATCTTCAAAGACTACTATCTCTTTAAAGTTATGTCTGAAAACAGCTCGGAGCATTTCTACCAAAGTTTCTGGTCGGTGAAAAATGATGGAGCGAAGCTTGGGATTTTTATCATACCAGACAATCTCTCCCATTCTGTGTAAGTACATCAATACCATAATCATACTAAGATCTGGAGAACCACCCATTGCTATCATTGATTGGTTAAAGGAACCCATAACTCTAATGAAAATATGAAGAGCTTCATTCCAAGGCAGGATTCTCTCTTGGTGAGCTTGTATCTCTTGTAAAAATCTATACCAGGATTTGGGTAGCGCCATCTCTTCGGTTTCTGTCAAATCATTAATCAGTCCTGCCCTAAACTCATCCAATCCTTCTAAATCTTTGGCGCAGCTGACTATTTGAATACTGTGAGGTAAAGCCGAGCGACTGCTCAGAATCTTCTCCATGTGATTCCTCTTTTCTTTTAATCTTTCAAGTCCAATTTCAGTGAATTCTCCACGGTTTAATCTAGCTTCTGGCATGTCCAATATTTTTTGTATCCGTGCAATCTCATTTTTCAAATCATCCAAGTTTGTCTTCTCATTCTTGTGAATTTTGCGCAAGATGTCTTCTACTTTTTCACTGATATCTTGAGAATTGCATAAATCAGCATGAGTGCCAACTATTTTAATCCTTGCTCCTGGTGCTCGATCCATGATGGCTTCCAACCAGTTACCAATTAATTCGTCGTATTCTTCGGATGTGTATTTCGACAAATCAAAGACTAAAAGGTGTAATGCTTCTGGCGTCAAGAACATATGGTGAGCTGCTGAGTAAATGTGATGGCCACCAAAATCCAAAATTTGAACACGTAATTCAGAGCGAGGTTCCCACAAATGACGCTCTAATACCCATGTTCTCTCATGTTCAGCAGTAAGATGGGAGTGGCCTAGAGTAAGAGCATGTCGTAGACTTGTTTTACCAGCTTTAACAGCTCCAATAAGAATCATCTTTTTGCGATGCTTGGCTTCGCTGATGCGTAACTCTTGGAGAAATGGAAACAAGGCGTGGACTCCCTGATCACAGATTGCTTGAGGTGGTCGTTTTAATTTGTTGTTCCACAAATGCAAACATTCGCTCAATTTTAATTTTTCTAGACGATCAAGCAAGAGGGGTAACTCTGTAAGATTGTTGTCATTCAAACTGAGATCGCTAAGGTTCTTCAACTGATAAATGAGTTCAGGGACTTTGTCCAATTTATTACTACCAAGATGGAGTGTTATCAGGGATTGGCACCGACAAATTTCATCTGGTATATCATGCAGACAGTTGCGTTCCATGCCTAGAAACTTGAGTTGTTTCAAATTTGAAATCCCATCGGGTAATTTTTCTATATAATTTTCACCAAACTCTAGAACCTCCAGATGACGTAAACTAAATAATTCTACTGGAAGTCGCAAAAGAGCATTTCTCTGCATGATTAATACCCTTAACTTTCTCAACTCACATACTTTGGAAGGTATTTCTGTGAAGAAATTCCCACTTAAATTGATGGTTCTGAGTTCTTCTAAGGTAAAAAGGGCTTCAGGAATAACAGAACAGTATCTTAATGCCCCTGTTAAGTTCAAATTAACTAACTTTTCACAATTGTGGATTTTCATTGATACGTACATCAAAAAATTACCACGTAGGTTGAAGATTCTCAATTTACGGAGATTACCAAATTGATCTGGAATCGTGTGGATTTTCTGCCAGCTCAGATCCAGTTCCTGTAACTCTGGTAAACTACAAACAGGTAATGGAACCAGTTCCAATCCTCCTCTCGGGTACCATTTACCTGCCAAATTCAAAATCTGTAATTTTTTCAGACGGGATAACTCATCTGGGACTTCTGATAAACAGTTGCCAGATAAATTTAATACACGAAGATTGGTCAGTTTTCCTATTTCTGGTGCTATAGACTCTATATAATTTTCTGCAAAACTTAACTCTATTAATGTGGTGAGGTTGTAAACTGCGGTAGGAATTTCCGAGAAATGATTGAAGCCTAGATTTAAGTCGGTAATGAGTGAACATTGATCAAAGGATTTAGGTAGTTTATAAAGGTAATTGCCAATTGCATGAAATATTAGCATGTCTTTAAGACTACCAAGAGCTGTGCCAGCTACAGGAAACGAGAACAGTTTGAGAAAAGGGACATAAAGTTCATCCACTTGGTAAGTATACAAAGCTTTTGGAATCCATCCCTTGTAAAATCCTTCTGGTATATTCAATATTCTTTTTCCATTTCTGTCTGTTAAAAGGAACTTCTTCAGTGTTTCTGAAGCTTGGCTTGTCGTCGGGCTGTCCATTATACAGCTTCTTATTGCCTGCAATATTAATAAAAGTAAATAAATATTTCTACAACCATTTAAGTATGTTTTGAAAATAAAGAGCTCATAAATAAAACTATAAATAAGCTTATACTTATTGATGTAAGTGCATTGCAAGATTTGAAAGTCTTCAATAAAACAATGTTGAATTGCTATAGTTTCATACTGTTGCTCCATGACATGCTAGGTGGACATTGGTGGATGCACTTTAAATTATGTTATCTACTTTTAATCTGACATTGCAGTTATGGTGTCTGGTGAACTACACTGTCCTTTACTCAACATACCAACATAACCATTTAACTTGTATGGGATACCCCGTCTTCATTAGCCCAGTTCGGAGCAGAACAGTAGGACATTAAACCTCATTTCATTTGTATGGGATACAACTTTTGAGACCAACCGAATTGCCATTGGGGTTATGCATGATGATGCTGTCCCTTGGTGCCAGAAAATGTTCATGCATACAGCATTATCTTAGGCTTTGGCCTACCACAGGTAGAATATATTATACTTTCTAATCTCTTGCTTATTTACATACTAATACCAGTTATACTAAAACAGGAGAAAAGGATTTTACATTCCTCAATTCCTATTCACAAATTATCTGAATACAAACATTGTTTAACACTTAAAATCCAAAAGGTTTCGATAAATAAAGGAATCATAAATTGTATTAAAACAAACCTTTGTCTATCCTCCTTGGTTTGTGGTTACAGTTTCTTCACAAAATTCATTTAGCTGTCTTTAGATGCCCATGCAGCCATGTTTTAAAATATTATACACCATCTGCAAAATTAAAACAAAAATCAATTTCCCTAATCATCGTTTTCTGTAAAGCCAATAAATTTTTATATCAACTACTAGCAATACATGTATGATCAAAGTAAACTGACCATGAGCAATTACTTAATTATAATTCTCACATCAGCTACATGTACACCTATTATTAGTGTTCATAGAAATATTCAAAAGGTGTCCAGAGTTTATTCAAATCAATTTTTGTTTTTCTTCAATCAATAGGAATTAAAACTAAAGGAATATTATCAATTTATACTTAGATTAAAGTAGCTAAGTCTCTAACTCAATATCATCCAAAATCTTCAACATTGAAAACACGATTTATTTGTCAAATTAAATTAACATTCATTTTGTGATCTTACTGGAAAAAGATGGACTTTTGATATCCAATTTTTAAGACAAAATAAACATTTTATCATTGGTACACGAATCGTGTACCATAATGCGCTTCAGCCCAGTTGTATCAAGAGACTCGAGGGACGAGGCTAGACACATTGCACCAAATCAAACAGCGTATGTAGACTGGAATAACCAGACGCTAGAAATTTGCACTCGCTTGAGACTGCTGGCTTATTTCGCCGAAAATAACTTATTTGAAATTGGAGTAAATACGGAAACCATTGAATGTAAATCAGTTTATATACATTCATACTACAGTATTATATGTGTTGCGACCTACTTTTGTCAATTTCTAGGTCCCAAATGTTAGCAATTTAGCTCCTTTAAACTTAACTCACTCAAAACAACTACCGGTATATAATGTCACCAATGTCTCAATGTTAATTAAGACAAATAGCAATTTTCAGATCATAGACTGTCATAACACTTTCACACATTTCAAAGCATCAACTCATGCAGACTTATTTATGCTAGTCTAAAACTAAAATATTTTCTCTGTATCACTATCAGTACAAACTCAGACTTGACATTTAGGAAATTTGATAAAGAACAAAGCAAAGGATATAATGTTTTAAGAAAAATCACGGTAATTATTGCAAAATTACAGCCATGGTGATTCCCGACAGCTGTGCCCAAGTCTTCCATCTAATAGCTTTATATCACTACCCTGTCCTTGAAACAGGAACAAGGTAGTGTTATCACTGCTAGCTACAATCCATCTTCAATAGACAATATAAATTTCTCTTCAATATGTATGCAACTAAGATAGGAATGATTATTCACCACCAGACTAAAATACAAATAGGTTAGAATATTTGTCACTTGGGTGGCAAATAACCATGCTGCCATGTACATGGAAGTGGCATAATACTGCATGTTAAAAGTTCTGTATAATTCTAGGGAAAGGGTAAAGTAGAATTATAAAGTGAAGTCAGTGAAGATAGTAAATAATGAACAACTTCTTGCCACACGGGTTACGAGTAGGCCTATCCTGAGATGACAGTACTAACTCATTCCTCTTAGCTTCATGTATTGGTAATATGACATACGGAAGTCAATCACTAGTAACCTAATCACTAATATTAATAACCACCAGTAGGCATATTCCAGTGCATATTTATCCTTTTCCCAGACAATCTAAGAAGTCTATTAGTATTATTCAGTAAATAAAACAGGAAAAGGGGAGGGGTGGGTCGCAATTGAATTTGGTGAAGTGCACACAAACAAAAAAATGTTATCAGTTATCAGACGGTCAACGACCTTTGGCTTTTGTCTTGGATTCGGAACCTTTTTTTTTTCAGTGTAGGCTACGACTGACGATGCCACGGCGGCGCACTTTTTTGTAGGTGTTGATACACTTAATGACGCGAAGAAATCATACCTAGAGTGAACAATGGCAGAGACTATGTTATTATTTGCGACACCATGCAAACTATATAAAAAGATGACATCAACAAACCAATCTGATCTTTGAAAACACCTTCTGATCACTACAGAAAATGGCCTAAAGGTGATTTCCGGTGACTTTGAGGAACATTTAAACAGAGTTATCTCTCTTGCGACTGAATTGGATTTGCTTCCCTTCAATCGCACTGAGGCAAACTGTATCATAGATAGTGTCTCGTAAAACTAAATCTGGTGTTCGCCAAGGATGTATTCTAAGTCCGTCTGTATATATAAACCAAAGGAATGTCAAGGGTATATTCACCAACGAAGATGATAAAGATATATATTATTAGGCCTATGTTGATGATCTCAGTATTTTATCTGATACAGTTGGCGATTTACAACGTAAAACAGATATTCTAAGAAAATTTTGTTCAGATTTTGATAAAGTAATATCGCAAAAACAAATATGGTTGCCTTCAGAAATGGAGGTATACTCCGTAGCAACGAGCGTTCTTATTATGAGTGACGGCAACGCCAACAAAGTAGAGTGTGTCTCTTATTACAAATTACCTTGGTGTCTTGTTTTCGCCCAGGTTTAAGCTAAGAAATCACTTCTTCCAGTACAAGCTTTGCTCCGAAAAACGAGATCGAATTCATTTTCTATCAGCTTTAAGATATTTGATTCAGTATTTAAAGCCGGACGGTTGTTTGGTGCAGAAATAATGGGCTATGAGTATAGGAAGGAAATTGATACTGTCCATTCACAATTTTGAAAATATGTCCTTCGAATACATCAAAGTAGTTCTCCGGTAGTAACTTTAGTAAGTAGTGTTGAATTGTTATAAATTTGCATCAGGTGTGTCGAGAAATGTTTCCATTTGGCGAACAAAGAAGAATCATGGTGAAAAACAAACAGCAAGGACTCCAAAATAGCCTTAATTAGAATTGAGGTGGTGTAAAGCGTTATTTTCATATTACTATAAGCATAAGGACAGGCAGTAACGATGAGAGACTAGCCTCTATCAGACATCGTTATTAAAGTAACTAGTTCTTCGGCAGCGGCGAAAGGTGAATTTAATTGGCGCATTACATCCTTTTGATAATAATAAAGCAAGGAAGTAGGCCTACCCATTATTTTTAGCGAATGTTATCTTTTTTACATTAATCTTTTTTTAGTTAACAATATGCTTAATGAATCAAACTAGGATATGTGGTCTTTTTTTTTTACATTCGTCCCGTCTATAAACATATTTGACGCATAGTATGTAAAAGGTTGGCCACCCCTTGTCTAGCCATCCACCTGCCTGTCTGTCTGTCTGTCGTCTGTCTGTCCGTCACACCTTTTGGGCCACGATAACTCTGCTCCTAATTGAGCTAGAATTTTCAAACTTGGTGCAGGTGTTTATTAGGTGAATGCCTTTACTGAGTTCGATGATGAGTATTTTCTGCTGAGGCTAATATTCGCATTCAGTAAACACGCATGTAACTGGTCTTGTCTAGCATTTGGTTCTTCATTACAAAAAAGGTGGATTTTGACGACTTTTATTAATGCGGCTCTGTTGTAATTAAGCTGCCGAGTCCAACCATGTTGATTAACCCTACTCTACCCACGTCAATCGGCCTATCAAAGTACATCGAATGTGGACGCATATTCACGGTGACAGTTTTCGTTATAGCATAAATGAGTATTTAATTTTAAAAATGATTCGCTGTCCGAACAAAATTACCCTTATAGCAGACTGTATGATGTATGTCCGTCTTCATTATCTCAGTCGGTGCAGGATAGTAGGACGTTAAACCCCATTTCATTTCATTCCTTTAAAAATTATGTCAGCGGATGACAAGAATGTCGGTCAACGGGTTACAAGGGTGGCTGTTCAAACAGGTTTGTCCCGACTGACATATGTTATAATTTAAAGGGACGAAGTGACTTCACCTAGGATTTAGGGTATCTTTGATAAGTTGCTATAAAACAGATGAACGCTCGCTCGGGAGTGCATAGATACAAATAATTTTTACAGAATAGATTTAAAATTAAGGAGTATGCCCCGACTGAATTGAAAAGCTACAGTCAAAAGCATGCATTTTACACACAGCGTCGTATAATCGTAAAGTTCGGTAGCTAAGTCTAGAGAGACCTTGTTGGACAGCTGATCTGAGACAGTGTTTTAAACGCCCGGTCTTTTGGCACTATCTATTAATAAAGTGAAAGTGCAGCTGATTAGCCTATATCAGAACATCGATTTTATTTATTTTATTTGTAGAAGAAAATATTGTGATGTATTATCTCTATGGTACTGATAGAGTGATATTCTTATGTCGTCTTAATTGGTCCACTCGTTGCCAAAAGTTATATCAGAACGGCCGTTATCGGCAACGTTATGTGTAGAATTCTTTACATGAATACGGTAACCGACCCTACTATTATATAATACACACATGAATGTGTCTTAAAGATGGGTTCCCGCGTACAAACTGGGTGATTTAATGGTATATATGGAGTAAAAACATATTCAAACTAATTAATTTGTCATAATTTTGCTTCAAATCCTTCTCAAACATTGTAATTGCGAAGGAATGTCCTGCTATAAAAATTCGATCAAACCAGGTCATGTTTACGTCACGTGACTTACCTCGCTTGGAAGTTAAAGGAGAATTCATTGTATACATAAGACGATGTTGTCTTTAATCGCTTACTATTTATTACAAATATCGAATCCTAATTAAATTCTTGGATTATCCACTACCCGCGTCTTTTTCCGTCATTTTTATCTCAGAAAGTGTTGTACGTCTAACTCTTCATAAAGTTTATCAACTTGTACATCAAGCGCTCAATGTTCGCGTGTGACCTTTGACATCACGCGTGCAGAAATTCCTAATCGTCGGGCTGTTGATTAGGGGAACCCTTACATTTTTGTCCTGTATACGCTCCATGAGTGTTTTTCGGGGAATCCAGTATTTTTCTAGTAAGATTGGATATCTCTACTTTCCATATATACCAAAATTACCATACTTTTATTGGAAATAACCTTCCGATAAATACTTTTCTGGGAACCCATCTTTAAATAAATGGACCATACTCCGTATCAGCTTACATAAACAAAATTTAATCGAACCGTATTCGACCCTAGATTCCGGAGTGGGTACTATTTGAAACGTGTACACTATTGAAAATTGGCTAAGTGGGTAAGACGCTAGCTCGCTAGCCTGGAGGTCGGGTGTTCGATCCCTGCATTGGCAGAGAAAGTTCATCCAGATTTTCCGGCGTGGTTCTCCCTTGTCAGTAATGCAGGACGGAGGGGCTGACAAGGAAAGCTGTCTAGTCGTTCGGATGGGACGAAAAACCGAGGTCCCGTGTACACATTGGCGTGCACGTAAAAGATCCCTTGGAAGTTAGAATTCGATATAAGAGTAGGCGGTAGTGCCGCTGTCCGGGCAAAATTTCCCTCATAGCACACTGTATGGCGTATGCCCGTCTTCATTAGCCCAGGTAAGGAGCAGAACAGTAGGACGTTAAACTCCATTTCATTTCATTTCATTTCTATTGAAAATTGTGCGGAACGATTCCAGGCTCTGATTGGTCGAGTGATACTGGGGTTAGGATATTAGTTTGCAAACATAACTCAGTAACTCATCCGGCTTCAAATCTCTGGTTGAACGATAGGCGTGCGTTTAATAACATTTTTTCAGAATGATTTCGTCAGTTATTTCCAAAGGAAACGACGGGGGCATTCAGCTCAGTTTATAACCTATGCCACCAGCTTGCACCGTTTAGATGCTTGTGTCATAAGTGTTTAACAGACGTGTTCAAAGTCTACTTCGGTTATTATTACCAAAATATGATCCTGATAAGTGACAAGTGACACAACAAAAGAAATCGATAACGGAATATTACGTTATATTTACTTGGGGGCCTGAGGTGGGTGTTAACCCCGGGAGCCACCGACACCATTGCATGATATTATCGCCCTTGATTCTAGTAAAATTGTCTGCGATATCACCTCGGTGGAAGCGGACGTAAAATACAACTAACTCATAGTAAAATAGGTTAACAAATGGATCAAAAACAGGTTAAGGTTAAGGGGTTGTATTTATTTATTCAAATTTCGACAGTTTGGGTTGGTCAAAGTGCATAGTATTGTCGAGGAGCTCTCCAGTAGGTTTAACAAGACGGGTATAGATTTGGACAAAGGCATTCGTGATATGTGCTTAATTAAAGAGAGAGAAATGTGGTTCAATGTCCACACTTCACTTAACACAAACTATAGGGACTAGACTAACATGGTTCAATTTTATTTCATTAATTCGCTTGCACGTACGGGTCTTCAGCAGTGGGAGGAAACCTGAGAACCCGGGGAAAACCCACGAGGTTGAACAAAAGAGCCTACTCCTTGTCAAGTAAAAACTAGGGATCGAAACCACGCCACTTGACTCAATGTCGACCTAACGATGCAACGCACACGGGTTAACTATTCGCCCCCACCCCCGTCATTAATTAAGTTGTTGTTATTGCTGTTTACATAATATAATGTCCAATCAATTTTATTCTATATTTGCATCATTAACTGATAAAGAATAAATAATCATAGTCACTCAGTGATAAATAATTCTTATGTCCTGTGTATTTGTAAATGCAATAAACCCAAGTTAGCCTTATTCAGCGAATTATCGTAGACAAGATAGATAGATGTCCGCCACGAGTTACATGACGACTTCTGGTTGTTGATCAATCATTATTATAATCAGTCATGTCAAATCTATAGTCAGTTATATCTGTGACATATGTCGGATTCAATCCGATTGTTAAAATGATGCTTGTCAAAATATTTCAGAAAAGGTTACAGGTAGCCCTGGCTATAGCTCTTGACGATATCCCGTTTATATTGTCAGTTGAGGATGTCGAATATTCAGTTCATATCTTTGTAAACACAGAACAGAATTGAACCATTCTGAACTAACATCCCTTTTATGGGCCCAGCTTTCACTATACACGCATTGTAGTTTCCATAGGATTCCCCAATCTCTTAAATGAAGTTCAGAGGCAATAGTAAGGGCGGTAATGTCAATTACCACTGCTTCGAGAAAAAGTCGGTATATGGGATTGTAATGATATACTCGTTACCACTGCTTCAGGATTGTGGGTGACGTGGTTCAAAAACCCAAATCTGGCGAAGACCGGTGAAATCGCTGAAATGCTATCATGGATGTGTAACGTGACTGAAATGTTCAGATTCTACCAAAATAGGTTAATGATACGGATATATTTAGACAGGTGAACAACTATATCTGCCTAAAAGACGTTGTCGGGTGCGGGGGTGGGTGTGTGTGTCTGGTTTAGCATATCCTTGTCAGCTATAAGCAACAAATAAAGTTTGGGGTTTTTTTTAAATTTCATAAATACCAAATAAATGTATCAAATATATTTTATTGCATTACTCGATAATGTATTATACGTTCAGACAAACATACAAAAGATATCTGACTAATATAGTCAATTAATTTAATATTCTTAAAATAATAAAGAAATCGTGATATTATTAAAAACGCAATATCCACAACAAATCTTGATATTATTAAAAACATAATATCCACAATAACCTCTGTTTAAAATACAGATGATATAATAACTAACATAGTTATAATGAAATTGTTTACAATCTAACGTTGAAGGAATTTTTAACATATAAAACGTGATATTAAATGGATAAAAAATGTAATATGTAAATAGTTCTATCTCTGTGAATATTAAATATAGTTTATATACTAGATAAATGCACACTCCTATGTAAATTGTACTACAAGAAAAGGGGGGCAGTCAACAAATACTCGATGCATTCGGGTACCCTATTATTTACATTCTCAACTGCGAGCGTGTTGGGCTCAGAAATATATATGCCTAGACATTTATGACACTGCATCTGATTTAACGGATTACTTAAAATATGACCTTGCCGTTAAAAAAACGCATCTAGAGGGATTTCAAATTCACAAGTGATAAGACATGCTGAAAAATGTAAGTTTTTTGAAGGGAGCATGATATGATTTGGTCAACACCGCACTGAAATTTTTCTTTTTGAACATGTTTGAACCGAACTTGAATCAGACATTTTATATCTATTTGTCTCGTCAGTGGGTACCGCTGCACACGGTGCCTGTAAGTTAATATGCTACGTTGTTTGGGTTGTTGTTAATAGCAGCCAAGCCAATCAATAACACCCTTTTCCGGACATACGATTTGTAAAGTTAGCACGCCAGGAGCTGAGAATATATAATATGGAACTAATGTGTCCAAGAAAAAAGATATTAAACGTTAACAAGTCAAATATCACTGAACAAACAGTAAATGACCACTGGACGTGGATGAGGCTGTTAGCCAATGCATTTAGAATACAATATCACTGTATAAAACGAAAAATAACGTAAACAATTTTATCCCTCCAAATAATCCCCTGAGATCCCCTGAATAAAAAATCAGCAACCCATAGTCTCACACGTATCCAAGTAACTTGAACATAATGTGCAGCAAGAAATTGAGCAAATAATTCAAAGATATGTTGTCAGGTAATGGAAGAGACGCCCACTACGGCTAAGTCGTCCGTTCAATCAATAACGCTTGTCGCATTGTGAATCTAAAAAAAAAATATGGAAAGCGAACAGGGCCAACGGCAAATACGACCAACTGCACGAAATAAGAAAACTTTTTGATCAACTTGCAACCAATCCATTGATACGATGGTAATTTAACCTTTCTTTTGGTCAACTATTACAGTTGCTAATATAGTAGTGGATAAAGGGGAAATCCATGATGAAAGTTAAACCATGGACCATATACGGACCATGGTTAAACCTTACAAATGTCTAACTCCAGCTTCCTAGTCTCACGAGTGTACATTTCTGAGGGGACATCTTCGATGCTACGGAACGAAAGATACCTGATAAATGCAGTGAACAGGAGTTGGGGTTCTAGTTATCGGTGGTCAGAATTTTGAAATCGCTGTAAATTCTATTAAATATTATAAAAAGAATCATGGATTGGAGAATTGGGTATTAAACTAATATCTAAATACAATTCTAATATTACGATTTTAAATTCATTGTGGGTCATGATAATAGAAAGAATTAATATTTTTATTTTAACCATATATTGGTTTTATTTGCCTTAACGGCAACTTTTACCATTTTAATTTTCCCGGGATGTATTTCTCAATTAAAGCCTCGTAATACGGCTTAATTTCTTCGACGTCTGGGAAATCGGGACTCTTTGTGTAAAGATCAAACTGATTAAACTCGTTTACCCAGGCTTTCATTTCGGTATCTTTGTTGTTACATAAATATTCATAATCGCCACCTGAAAGATAAATACAGATTTAATACGTTATGATAAGAAAACAAGATTTGTCGCACAACTTTAACATAAATTATCCCATAACTACCCAATCCTGCAATCCTGATCATTTTCTGAAAATAAATATTCTTATTCTAACTGATTCAAATACAAAAATACCCCATGCATTGATCATTTTCTTCCTCGGATTTAGATCATTATATTTTTCAGCGGATGCGGAGATGAATTTTATTTATTTTGAAAAAATCTATGTCAAATTTGAATCAGCTAAATGATAATGAAATTGACTTTCCATCAATGGAAATTTAACGGGCCGTGAACAAACGACACGTTAGCAAGATAACGACCCATTAGATTTTAGTGGATCGTTAAAATATATGCTTATTTATTTGTGTCTATATAATGTACATCTCGTCTCTCATAATTCTTAATGAATGGCAGTTTCTTTTTATTCTTAGTATATTATAATTTTTGAATGTGGTGTATTTATAACTGGTGAGACGTTAATAAACAACTACTACTATATAATTGAGTTTTGAACAATCGACACCTGGTGTCTTTCCATGACCTTTATTTGAACAGTACGAAAAGCTTGATTATGATGTGGCTGATTTCATATCACCAGATTTATTGAAAGATATATCTTATCGTTAACTATATTACTGGACCGTTTCCAGGGAAAAACATACATTAAAATGACAAAATCAAAACAAACTGTGGATGAATAAATAGTATAAAAAATTATACTATAATACCACAACAACTACATCAGATAATGATATATCCAATATATATCACATATTCCAATACATACCGACTTATATGTATTGACCTACCACAATACATGTTGGTCTTTATGCACTGTTGACTCTCAACTGTATTACCTGTAACTTAAGTCAATATAATGGCTGTGGGAATTTGGATGGTTGGTGCCGCCTTTAGCCTGAAGTTTATGCTAAAATTTACATTCATTCATTAGAGCATTCATTCCCAATTTGTTTAATTTATTATCCTGCAAACAAGACCGGTACATGTATATGATTAGATATTTATATATTCCTGCCAGGTCTATACATGATCTATTTCCTATTGTATTTAATATATTACCTCATTAAATATTCTTTAAATTTCTTAAAAATGAATACAACTATTCTTTATTCTATCGCGATTCATTCATTCATTATATCTTTCTAAGATTATCTTAGGCCTTATTCATTTTTCCGTCACGCCTCATGTCTACTGTCCACCTGAATAAAAATGATAAGGCGAAGACTAAAAATTACATTAATTGCAGACTTAAAGGGTATAAGCTCTGCTCTGGCAAAAATTTCTCCTGCACATACCAATAGACTATATTCGACATAAATATTGAAATGAAATCAAATGAAATGGGGTTTAACGTCCTACTGTTCTGCTCTGACTGACATACGCCAATACAGCCTACTCGTATGTCGAATAATAATTGCCAAGGGTTACTTTATTGAATCTTGGCCTTATTTACGATGGGGGGCCATGGTGGCTCAGTGGGTTAGAGGTTGGCTCGCTAACCTGGAAGTTCCGTGTTCGACCCCTGCGTTGGTCGGGCCTGGCAAGGGACAACGTATAACGAACGGTCTACTGTAGGCCCCGACTGGGCTAATGAAGAAGGGCATACGCCATACAGTGTGCTATGAGGGGAAATTTTACCCGGGCAGCGGCACTATGACCCTCTCTTACATATCGAATTCCAATTGCCAAGGGCATACGCCATACAGTGTGCTATGAGGGGAAATTTTACCCGGGCAGCGGCACTATGACCCTCTCTTACATATCGAATTCCAATTGCCAAGGGATCTTTTACGTGTACGCCAATGTATACGCGGCGCCTCGGTTTTTCGTCCCATCCGAATGACTAGACAGCTGTTCTTGTCAGGCCCTCCGTCCTGCACCATTAACACCACTGACAAGGCGAAAACACGTCGGTAAATCCCGATGAACTTTCTCTTCTCGGCAAATGCACGGATCGAACACGCGACCGCCATGCATTGAGCAAGCGTCTTACGTCGCCACTTAGCCACCGTGGCTATAAGAGTGTCCGGGCAAAATGTCCCTCATAGCACATTGCATGGCGTAGGTCCTTCTTCATTAACCCAGTCGGAGCAGAACAGCAGGACGTTAAGCCAAATTTCATTTTTCATTTCATATTTATTATAGTATCATTACAAACTTTCTATTTCCACGAGTCTCCAAATTCGATGTTATTGCCAAGTACCCGTCTTCATTATCCCAGTCGGGGCAGAACAGTAGGACGTTAAATCCCATTTCATTTTATTTCATTTATTATCGAGTGCCTAGATAACCGTGTCTATATACGGAAGTTTTAGTGGTTAGCCCTCAACGCGTTTACGTAACCATGTTAAGTAATTGTAGTGGTCTTATATTAATGGCTTAGTGTTTTGAACGGTGATTTTCAGTCTTTTGGGCCCTTTCTTCACGTGTGTGTGTGGGGGGGCGGGGTGGACTGGCCGAATGGTTAGTGCGTGCGCTTTGTATCAGAAGGTCTGCCTTTGAGTCAACTGGCGTGGTTTCGATTTCCCGGTTGTATGTGACAAGGAGTAGGGTCGCCTATCCAACCTCCGTTGGTTTTCTCCGGGTCCTCCGGTTTCTCCCCGCCCCCACTGCAAGCGAATTATTGAAATAAAATTAAACCATATATATGTTGTTCCCGAAATGCCCTAGTTTGTGTAGAATGGGCGTTGAACCACATTGCTCTCTCTCTATTTCGCTATTTCTTCACGTTTTGCACGTTAAATCAGAGACTGTAACGCACTGACCCGGACATTTGAAAGCAAAGATATTTTGGTTTCAGGTTATCGTTAATTCGCATGGCAGAATTTTATGTATGTTCCGTGTTTCATATAAATATTGTATATCAGTCAAGGTGAAGGAAAGTACAACCAACATTAGTCATAAATCGGTTACACTCTGAAAAAAGCAACACATCGAGTATTTAGTACACTACCTTCTGTGTTACACTGCACCAAATCTTGGACGAGAATATAGCAATACATATTTAGTGTTTAGCTACTTGTCAAGTATAACAGGGAATTTTGCCAGAGTCTAATTTTTTGCTTGTTAACATTTGCTACTATAAGAAATGGATTTTCCCAGAATCAAAAAAATTGAATCATTTTAAAGAACAATTTAACTCGATGACTTTCACAATTGAATAGAATTGGATTTGGATAGACTCGGTTTTGTTTCTTGTACATAGGTCTAAATATATAGTTGTCATAAATTTTGGGGTAACTAAATGAAAGGTTATGATAGAAATCAGCCGAGAAAGTTACCGATCCATATCTTACAGCTTCATTGAAATAATAATCACCTGATTTTATCGCTTTAGAAATATCAACATATGAGATTTATTCAGTCCCGTCGTAGCTGTTTCTGTCATCGCTTCAAGAAATATCGGCATACGTCATATGAGATTTTTATTTAATCTTATCATAGTCTTTTATTCAATCTTAAGATATATTTTGTGATAACTTAACTTTTTGTGATAGGCCACTTCTAATTCTAGCTCTAACCATAACAATGTGCGGTTTTGCAATTGATATTTGGTAATGAGAAAGTATTAGACAAATATTGAATAAATGTTAAAATATAGGCTACCGGTATTATTATTATGAAAATTATAAAATCATAAATTAATCGATCTAAAAATCAAATCAAAAGCATGTTAGAAAATATACGCACCTGTATGCCATGGGTAAAATGAATGAAATCGGATCATGTAAAGACCTTCTTCTGGTATCTTGCAATTATTCCCCTTCAACACCCTGTAAAGATATTCATCATGACCCCAGGACATAACAACATTGTCCAATCCACAGTGTTCATCATAAATTCCCAGTTCTGAAGCCAACTTCTCGTCTAGCATATCCGGGTTGTCTTTGAAGCTGTCTATGCCGAAAACTATCGACGGTGCTGGACAACATCCTACAGGAAAAGTGTCACCAACAACAGCCCACTGAGGTTCTCCCCAAATAGCCATAACTTTTCCTAGGTCGTGGATGAGTCCGACCAAATGGAACCAGTCTTTATCCGGGTGATGTTTTCGGATTCCCTCGGCTGTTTGATAAGCATGGTAAGAATTTGGGAAATCTGCATCCGGATCACTTTCGTCCACTAGTTCATTTAACATATCAAGTGCATCCATAATGTTCATTTCTGCTTTATCCAACTTGCACCAATCCTTTAATTTCTGTGTGGAGAATTCTAAAGTCTGTGAAGTGTGCATATTTGTGTATGTTTTCTCCACATAATCAGGAATGTTATGAATTCGGAAATCGCGATATTTGGATTTATCCTTCACTTCTGGTCGATATTCCGACGGATCGTTGAGAACGAAACCTTGAGAATCGTCAATTAAATCTATATTAGCCATTGTGTTGAAGCGCGATTCTACACCTTTTCTTTGCCTGGAACAAAATAAAATATAATTGGAGATCTATGTATTTGGGTAGCGTGATTGTTATCAGAAACCACTAACTACACTCTTAACTAGACCGATTTATATTTAGTAGACGAGGCCAGTGGTCTATGGAGTTTATCAGCCTAGCACACAAAAACCGGTTCAAACCAGTTTTCTTCGACACGAGGTTTTGTTGATATTTTAAATCTATTAATAACCCAGAAACCCGCCAATCAATGAAGGCGCAGCGTATTGACTATCGGTTTTGTAAACTATTGACCGTCGTTGCTATGTGAAACTACGAGGCGTAATGGCTGGGTAAAATCTAAATGTTAAGGCCCACTGCAGATGTCGTCAATGTCGCGAGATGTAATTAGGGTTGGGACAAATCCTTGTTGACGAGATTGTGGGTTAGGGAAAAGATTAGGGCTAGAATTAGGGTTAGGGTTAGCGCTAGCCTTGTTTACATCTCGTGACCTTTGACCAAATCTGCAGTGGGCCTTAACTTTTAGGACTAACCGTCTGTGTCCGTCTGTTTCACAGTGGTAATGCGAAAGGCGGCCAAGCGAATATTTATTTCTGACAATATTTTGTTGGCCTATGCGGTTGCGAAACAAGATTAGCACCCGGTTGGGGTGGAGGCAAACACACTCTTTATAGTCTTAAATTCGTCGCGTTTGACCAAATTGAGTTAAATTGCATTTATAACAAAGGATGAAAAGGACAATATTATATATAAAAAATAATAGTTGTATCGAATAAATGTTAAAATATGTATAATTTTAATACTGTCGTTCATATATTTCAAAAGAAAGATATTCCTGAAAAAAAGGTGAGGGCATGATTATTAATTATAGGGGACATCGGAGAGGGAAGGGAGGGGGGATGTTCTCGGACATTCAAAACATCATTTCCAGCGTATTTGTAGAATATTTAATGATAGTCTAAAGCAGCCCATACACGTTCAATAAAATCATCAATATTATTGACCCAATATATTGACTCAATAATATTGACGGGAATTGCCCACACACGATTCAATATTTCCATCAATAATTTCATCATTTTTGGGGCATTTTTCAAAGTAGATGCAGCGGTTGTTTCTCAGTTGCCATGTTTACTCTTCCAAGGTTGACGATGGAATGAAAATATTGACGTAATTATTGACAGATTCTCCACACACGATCAATATTGTCATTCAATAAATTGACCGAACCGTCAATAAAAATCAAAATGGTTTTGATCCGTGATGGTTATTGACAATATTTTACATCAATATAGCCCAAACATACGTTCAATATTATAGCCAATAATATTGACGGAATTACTGAACGTGTATGGGCAGCTTAACGGGAACGAAACCACACCACGTGACAATAGCAGACTATGACAAATAAAGAGTTCTCAACGGGCTTTACAATAAACAAAAAAAAAATAAACAAAAAATAAAAAAAAATAAATAAAAGGTAAAAAAAAAACCCAGGAAGTAAAAGGAATCACAAATCAATGGTAAAAGTAGCCTAGCAGTCCATACACATTCAATTGAACGTGTGTGGAGGACATTGACGGCGAATTAATTGAAACAAATCAATTAATTGACGGATCAAAGTTCCTTTGATATGTATTGACAGCTCGTCAAATAAATTGGCCGTGTGTGGGCAAAGCGTCAATGTATTGATCAATAATTCATTTTCATCCCGTTCGTCGAAGCGACAACATGAGTGACAAAAGGAGAGATACCGACCGCAAATTCTTGCTGGAGTTCATAGAAACGTACAAATCGCTACCGGCTTTATGGAAAATAAAATCCGATGAATATAGTAATCGAGACAAAAAAGCTGATGCATACAAAGTGTTGCTTCACAAATACAACGAACAATTTCCGGGCGCAACTCTTGAAGATATGAAAAAAAAGCTGAATGCCCTACGCACAAACTTCCGATCTGAACTACGCAAAATGGAACGTAGTGCTAAATCTGGAGCAGGGACAGAAGACCTTTATATTCCGAGTTTGTGGCATTTTGAAGCCTTGCTGTTTCTGAGAGACCAAGAGACAACCATTCCTTCAAGAAGCAGCATTATCGTCCAAGTACAGAGTCAGGAAGACGAGGAAGAATCAACCCAGGATACTACAATGCAGGTTAGTTGTTTTGAAATTAACTATTAACACTTCAGTTATTTCCATGATCGAGCAAAAATTGAAATCACAAAGAACAGTACACATTGCGTATGTTATATGTAAATACCAGAACAAGCATATTCACTACGTCAAGTATCCCACACTATATGATATGTTATAACCATACAGATAAATAATCAATGGATCATCCTACGGCCGTCACCAGTTCTAGGCGTGTATGCTAAACGCTGCCTTGCGTACAAAAATAGTGTCGAAAAGGATATCTGACAAGGCGCGCAGTATTACCGGCGTTACGGTTCATTGTTGCGTGAAGTCCTTCCATTTGTCCCTGGAATGCCCTCCATTCTCCAGCATGCGTCTAATGATTTGCATCACCTCAGTGTACAGCGCCAGGGCCTGTATATCATCTGGATTTCTTTCGGAGGAAATTGTGTAGATAACAGCATTACATTGCTATAAGTGTGTTTTTTTTCCTGGCGATACCTGCATGGCCCTTTGAAATACCCCAAACCTGGCTGTCAGAATGCCCAATATATTTTCAGACACTCGTCTAGCTCTGTTCAATCGATAGTTGACTATTCTCTGGTTCGGCCTTGGCAAATGCATAGCAAAGGCGTCATCGGCAACAAAAACGTACGGCATAGATGTAACATCATTCTGTCAAAGAAGGGCGGGTTCGGGGAGGACCCAACTTGCCATCATCAAGAACTCTCACGAATTCTGTCGCAGCAATAACCCCTCCGTCATGAACTCGTAATCCGCACCAAGGAGGGCCACCAAGACTACACTAAAAAAACTTCTTATAGTTGAAATAAAAAGAACCAGACAGTGGCGGTTTTTTAATCGCAGCATGCTTGCCATCGAGTGCGCCTACAAAGTATGTGAAATTCCAGGTTGTTGTGAAAGCGTTGCTGATCTCTATCCATTCTTCAGGTTTACGTGGAATCTGAAAACAAAAACGTCGAGGAAACCTCAATCTATGTTATTACGCTAACGACATGTTATGATCTGTAAACATTTATTGTAAAATCAACTATAGGAACGTATCATTGAATAACATATATTTCGATTTATACTATTCAAAATTTGCTTTATATTTCAGGATGAGGACTTAGTTGAGGTGGATGAAGTTCTCACTAAGTCGGTTCATACCGGATCCACCCAGAAGCCAGGACATCAACGGCCGTCGACCAGTCGTGCTGATACAAACATATCCATACCGCCTATACTTGGAATTGCAGCTTCGAAGAAACGCCGGGTCGAAGTGAAAAAGGACGAACTTATTTCACTTGCAACAACTCGTCTTCTACAAGAATCGTCGGAAGACGAATACGACAACCAGACAAAAACTTGGGCCAACGAACTACGCAAGATGGATCCAAGGCAGCAGCTCTATGCTAAAAAAGCTATTAATGATGTGCTATTCGAAGGTCTCTGTGGCACTCTGACCAGAAACTCGGTTCAGATCAACTGCACTAATGAGTTTTGTGAGACTACTCCATGTAGCATGCACAGCATTGGCAGTGCTTCCTCCACACACAGAACATAGCCTGTCTTTCAGGTGAATACCCAGGAAATTGGTAGCAATTTTGTTGGAACAACACGTCATGAACTTGCTGACTATTTTGCAAATATTGAACCTCCCACTCAGTCACTTTCATAATATATACTTGGGAGTGTCTGGACTGGATGGATCTCCGTATAGAGTTGGGAGTGAATGTTGTTGTAGCTGTACAAAGTACACATGTATGTAACTTGAAATTGAGCCTAAGCTAATTGTAATTGCTATGACGAACACCAAGATGTGAGATTCGGTAAAATAAACACGTTCGTGAATTGTATAATTTTCTTACCTTGATAGTTTGCTGGCGTTTGAGACATTGTATAGTGGCTCCGCTATATCAAAAACAATCCCTCCGATTGCTTGTGGTGATGTTCTGGTGGGGAATTTTAGATCTTAGAAACAATCTCCAGTGGCCAAAAACCGCAGTGTGATACTGAGCCGTTCGTTTGCTGATATGGCTTGACGCATGATGGTATCTTTTTTTACTACTATTGGTCTCACTAAAGTTCGTCATACGCAGCGTCCATTCTCAGGACATTCCTGTAATCATTCGGCTAATCGTCCTTTAACTTACTTAGCAATCGTCCATGTCCGAGTTCTCTTCGACGCAGAAACCTTTTTTTCGCCCACTTGCTCCCCATTTTCGGTTTGGAGTGTTCACCAGGGCAAAAACTATTGCTAGTGCCAGAGATGCTTTCAACTCGAAGTTTTCTATCAAAATGAAAATTGACGATAAAACATTGATCGTGTGTGGGCAAGATCAATTTCAACAATAAATCAATTGACATCATTTAATTGACGAAAAAATTGAACGTGTATGGGCCGTTAAAAAGTAAAATATAAATTATTGACACTGTAAAGGTTGTTTTGAAAATAGGATACAGTTCTACAATGACACAGATAGGCTTAATTATACATTAACTTTTTAAAATAAATTAATTTTAAGATTTATTTGAAAATTTGATTAGAAATTATGGGTTGTTGCGAATAGAATATGATTAGATTAAAACCATAATTATATATATAGTTTGCAGTCCATTAAAGTTTTCCTTGTTGTGGAAAAGAGTCAGTAGCAACACAGAACAGATCAATTTAAACATTTATAAGAATAATACATGGCATCAAACATGTAAATTTATAGATTATATGCACGGTCAATATTAATAAATGTGTGTGTAAGTCCGTGTTCTTTGTCTTTATTTTTTCCCTAATATATTATTATATTAATTTATTCAGCAGGCTGAACCGCCATACTGTCCTACAACAATAGTTCATTCCTGTGTGACTAGATATGAAGTTCCCTTCCTTAGTTTCCTAGTCATGCGTTGCTCTATTCTGCGCCACTAACGCAACAGTTAATTCCCGGTTCTGCTATGAATTTCCCCGAGGGGGTGGGGGTCAGGGCCGTATCTAGCGGGGTGCAGGGGGTACATTGCACCCCCAGAAAAATAAGGCGCCCGTGAAATGGCGCCCCCTCAAAAAAATTGACAACCTTTCAATTATAAAACAATACACTTGATTATAATCACACAGTGATGCTCTTAAGGCACTGATGAGTCGGTCGGTTTTAATGGCACCCACCTGATTCGTTTGCCCTAATCCAATGGCACCCACCTGATTCATTTGCCCTAATCCAAACTTTCCTATATCACTTATGTGGAGGCTATGGGGCGCCACTCGTTTGGAAAACGCGTTTGCGGCAGCCTAATTTTTAAAATTTTCGGGGACACACACACACACACCGCTGCGCGATCGTGGCGCTCGCGGGCTCCCGCTATCGCCGGTCGCCGCTCCGCGCTCAGTAACTCGGGCATTATATCGGCGCCCCCCCCCCCCACCACTCTACTGCACCCCCACTTTTAAAATGCTATATACGGCCCTGGTGGAGTGGGGGTAAGTAAATTTTGGAGGGAATATTGAAGTTCGACATCATCCATTGGATTTTTACAGGGAGTCTTTACTCTTCCAGTTTATTGCACACAGTGACGACATGATTAACGGTTAAAATGTGGCCGCAATCACACTTTCATTGGTTTATTATAGTTATGGTCGATTATTACATCTTTGGTTCTCAGCCATGTGATTAACCCAGGGTCTATTTTAACGTGTCTACAGGCATGAACGTGCCTCTGGATAACAAAATCCGTGCTTTGAAAATCTGAAATCCGAGGTTTAAATAATTGCTATGTAGCCTTGTGAAACTCGCCAGATTGTATGGGGAAATTTAGCTATAATTATGACCATCGACTACTTTCGATTTCTGTTTCGAAAGTTTTGTATTGTCAACTTATTCCCACCGCCACCTAAAGCACGAAAATTTCATATCAGAACATTTCTATAATAAACAATATTTTATTCTCAGAAAATTTCAGAGCAGAACATCGTTATATAGGTACAGGTGACAGTGAAGGTTTGTTTGCCTTTGTGTCGACTTTGGACTGTTAATGACACTGACACGCGGTTATAAATATAAATATGTTAATTCTGTTATATTTTGGTTATAAGAGTGTAGTCAAATTCTGGCAATTTTCACGGAACTCCAAAACACCGGAAACTGTGTTTCGCCAATAAAACCTTAAAATAGGCCCCGGGATTAACGCACAAATTTTACACGACGGGTGATTGACCTCCTTTTATACAACTAGATTGTTATTTAATTTGAAGTTAAAGGTATTTGCTCTGGCCAACAGATTTTTCTATTCTGATTTAGTTTTAGTTTTAGCAATGCTATTAAATTCCTGGACGTTATGTTTTAAGGCTTCGATCTTGCAGAGTCCGTTGCGTGCAAGATAGTTTGCAGACTCATTTCCTAATATGCCCACATGGGATAGTGTCCATGTAAATTCTACTTAAATTGTTAACCACCCTAGAGAGGGATTATGTAGGTTTTGCCTGTTTCCCAATCCTAAAATTAAATAAAATATTGTTTATAAAAAAAAATCAATAGATTACTGGAAGTAAGAAATGTAATAACTACAATACTGCACTATTTTTGTTCTCTATAATACAGTGGTTATCCCTAAATCTGTGGTATTGTCTAAAAGATTAAGGGGAGAGGTACTAAAGAGACAATAGCTTAAATGTTAATGGGCAGCTAATATTTTCTTTATGGATTGGTCTGGTGAGAGAAAGCGAGGAATGGGGTTTAACCTCCACTCAACACAAACTTGCGCTTAGAGGTCTTTAGCCGTGGGAGGACACAGAAGGACACAGAGAAACCCCATGAAGTTGGACAGGCGACCCTACTCTTTGTCATGTTAAAGTGTGGTCTCGAAACCACATTTCTTGACTCAATGACAGACCTTATGATCTATAGCGCATGTTTTAAACCAACTGGCTACCCAACCACCCGATTTAACTGATAGAATGACAGAAAAAAACAAATGCTTGAAAATTATATATTTACTTCTTTAATCAAGGACAATAAGAGTTACACACAAAAACAATAACATAAATCACAGACATATATAAATTAATTGAATTTCAAATTGACACTTACAACTACACCGTCTAAGCAAGGCGCCATTAGCATCAAAAATTTCAAATTTGGTAAAAATGTTTTATTTTACTTATAAAATATCAATATCAATAAACCTTTATTTGAAAAATGAAAGTTTAGCAGAATATATTAAATTGTAAGAACCACAATTAAGCTAAAGTTTTGTGTTATCTAATCTTAAAATCTGAGGAGTTTTCAAAACACCAATCCTAAATCTTGTGAAAACACATCTGTAAGATTAGACTTGTTTAGTATGCGCACTCAATTTCAAGGTAAAAATCGGTTAATATTATGGTCATGATACAAGTACATTACTTTCTGGTTGACAAAGACAACTTTATTCCATGCAGTTGAATTGTATAATATTTTTCTGTATTCTTATTCATAAAAACTTCTTCTAAAATATTTTTAAGAACACAACCTTTTCATTGGCAGAGCCTTAAAATAATAATACAAATTAGAGGGTTTGACCAATGAAAGATTGCATTATTATGATATTTTAGTTTCCATATTTTTGAATATAGCTCCAAATAATTAGTGTTTCCTTACTACAGACTATTTTAGTTTCAGAATCGCTGCATAATATTTTTTAAAAATTCAACAATACTACCTAATATATCCCATTCTACTGGTCAAATGTTAAAGTTAAGTTAAGATTCTCAGATATAAATATCAACTAGTGTTATCTATTAGCATATAATTCATGGTTAAGGGTTACATTTAAAAACCATACAGTAAAATAAATCAAAATATTATAACAAAATAGTGGACATTAATCAGTGAAAGCTCTTTCACAAATATTTTATCAAATTTTCATCAGTTTTGCAATTAAAGACTGATTTTTTTTTTTTTTCAAAAAAACAAAAAAAAAAAATAATAGGGTAATGTTGGAAATCTTAATAAAATTTTTTCAAATTTAGTACAAATATCAATTATGAAAAAATAACTGTCCACATAAAACTTGAAAGAGAAAAAATGCAGCCTTCCTTTTGATTACAATGAAAGGCTATCAAGTCCAAGACAATTTTAAGTTGGTAGATAAATCTAAAATCAGTCCTTAGAGCATTTTCAACAATAAGTTGATGTTCTTCTGTGGTGTGAAGTCCGTTGTTTTTACCTTTTTTTTAATAGTTTATCTACCAACATAAAAATCAGCTACAGAAAAGGAATTTAATTTCTCCTTTTTTTCTTGTCATCTTCCTGGAAATAAATAATAAATAAAACTCATTTTCAGATTTATCAAATGACTTCCTAGGTTTAGAGATTTTTTAAGATTGGACTTAGTTAAAAAAAACTTGTAGCATCTTATTCAAATTGTCAGCTGCATTATTCGTTTCTTTGAAAGCACAAGTCTCGAAATAACAAGAAAATGTCCAAAACAGTAAGCCTATCCTATTATGTGAACATCCATCACAACTTCTATAGGTAATTGAAATAATGGCTTTAACTTTGATTACCAAATTGATTGTCTAATGTACGTTACCTTTAAAGAGCAAATGAATATTTAATGTGCGGTGTACATTCCAGAGGAAATGATTATTTAATGACTATTATGTGACGTATTACCTTTCTAGAGAGGATGATAAGAAGTCTTCTGAAAATCTGGATAAAATCAATGAACAGATCAACTGAGTGCCTGAAATAATAACATACAACAATAAACACCATTTTATCTGTTGGTTTATTACTTGTTTGTGATGTGTTTTGTGTTACTCTTCATCGTTGCAAGTTTGTCTGGGTAAATCACTATCGATACCCAGACCTGACTGATGGTCATATTATTACACTATCTATCAATCAATAGTTATTTCGTAAGAATTTTATGAAAGATGCCTTCCCACATAGCATACAAACTGTGTGATTTGATGATACATTTGGACTAAAAACATATTCAAACTTATTTATCTATCAAAAGTTGCCTTGAAATCCCTCCCAAAACATTTAAATCAGAAGAAAACTACTTTAAGATGTAAAATTTTATTTTAAACAACCTTATTTGTAATGTGACTTGATGGAGTGGAAGTTACGTTGTCCATTTAGGCTACCAAAAATATCGAAGCTTAAGTAAATTCTTGGATTATTCTCTGCCAACTTCTTTTTCCAAAGTTTAATAGCAAAGTCTGCAGTCTCTAACTGTTCTCACAACCCCTAGCTAACCATTTGATTAACAAAACCAAGTGCCCCAATATCATTCAAGCAGACAACAAATGGACAGACTGCCAGTTAGTTATCCTCTTACATTTGGTCCTGTGCACGCCTTATCAGTGTTTTTCAGGGAATCCAATATTTTTGCAGTAAGTTCGGGCGGGGGTGTCGGGCTTAACATCTACTTCCACCTTGGGTGATATTGCATATCCAGTGGTTATAGAAACTTTAATATAGTTTTAATTAATGTAGAATCACAAATACTGAAAATTCAGCCTTGAGAAAATGTTTATCAATACAAATATTCTGTTTGAAGATAATGTGTTATGCTTTGGACCAATCCCATGTATGATGATGGAAAATTAAAGCTTTACAATTACATACCATACAAAGTCATCATCACCACGTCTGCGTTTTTCAACAATAAGTTGAGTGTCATAAAGAACAAAGGCACAGAAGATGACAAGTCCACCATACAAATTAATCTACAAAAATTAAAATAAACTTTTAAATAATGCCCTAAAGTACACTGGACATCATTGGCAATGATCTAGTCCAGACTATGGTGAAAAATTATATCATTCTTTAGTATAAAACTGGGCTTAATTAGCCAATTATATTCATGTAATGAATATTGACTGCCAGACATGTTTCAATTGTCTGGTATCTCCATGACTACAGCAACATCTATGGTAATGGAGCCAATCACTTCCTACACTAGTGAAATTGTTAGGCTTACGGCAGGACATAAATTTCAATGCAAAAGTTCCATTCACACCAACTGAACGAAATTAAAGGGGCCGTTGCAGATTTCCAGTAAAACTTGGCTCAAATATGCAAACCAAACAATTAAATATAAGGAACTAGCCAACGCAGATTGTCTTGAAGTTTCAGCTAAAAATATTGAGCTATTCAGAAATGATAGCTAGATTTGTTTGTAAAATTGTTTAAGTGACAATCAATTACCATTATGAGTATCTAGGGACTTGTCGCCAACCACATAAGGAAACTGTGATGAAGTACCACAATGCTTTACATACTTGTACAGGACCTTGGATAAAATTTTCCACACAGAACTTACTAATTTGATTCACATAAATACATCTGAGATAGTTCCTTAAAACCCAAATTTAATACATAAATACCCCATTATTATGTGTCTTAGTAAGTATTGCTGGCTGAATTCATTAAACTAGAGACTGATGTTATATCAACTGCATATTATTTTTGACTAAGAAAGACGTTAAGAATGTAATTTGTGTAAATAATTAGGATTGTATTATGACTTACATCAAAGATCAACTGTGATCTGAAGAACAAGTTACCAATAGACAGTAACAGTAGAAATGACAACCCAGACATAATAAATCCTGTAAAAACAAACATATACATGTAAGTAATACTAATTACTTATACAACATCTTGCTGGATAAATTTATAATTTTAGAACAGTTATATGGATTCTCATGAATCGAACGATGCACAGCAATCTTTATGTGGATGGATACATATTGAAATTCAGACCCTGAAACGGAGTCAACCTAGACGCCATACCGTCCCCAAAAAACGAAAATATTTTTTTTTTTATATTTCAACAAAATAATATGGATTTTAAAAAAGAAACTGACTATGCAAAAGGGGAGACAAATCTATTTTTGTCATGATTGCCAGGGTTGGACCAAGACATTTTTAACAAACAATTAAACATACATTATGCAAGAGCTAAATCTGCCTATTGCAGGTCTTTCTTAAGGTCTGAAATGTTATCTAAATTATTAATTAGACATTAATTAACTTATCCAGACCATAATCAAGTCTCGATGTCATCGCTAGCCTGTGATGTTTATTGGATTAGGTTCTGATTTGCTGTTCGTAGTGTTCGACTTCTATTCATGATTTAATCATGAAATGGATAATCAAGACTATGTTTTTTATCATACCGACTTTAGTAATGATGATTGGGGCTAGGCCGAAAATTCAATTGCTAAAATCTTGGTTCAGAGTGAATCAATTTGACTGAAATTTTCAGCAAATTCCCTTTACATAATCTAGTTTTTAACTATTATAGTGAGAACTGCCAGCTCTTTATCTAATCTCTCATAATGTATGTTTAAATTATCAATCATGTCAATACTTGAGATTGATCTAACACTTGAAACATTCTTCATTTCAAAATTTTAACACCAGATGATGTTATAATGTATCTAATCTCTCATAATGTATGTTTAAATTATCAATCATGTCAATACTTGAGATTGATCTAACACTTGAAACATTCTTCATTTCAAAATTTTAACACCAGATGATGTTACATTTTGTCACTTTAATTTAAAACCAGCCTAATTACATCATCTCATCAATCATCATCTTGTTGATTACCCATCTACCTGTCAATCAATGATTTTGACAGGTGATTATGTAACACTACTTACCTCCAAGATACAGGAAAGTTCTGTTGGTATTATAGAGAGCTGCTAATGTAAAGCTGATGAATACAACAGCGGTACCTAACAGAGCAGTTGGAATGATGCTGAAATAATTTAAGAAATTAATACACAATTAATGTGGGTACATAAAAAAAAATGATTTTTAAAAATAACATTACATGCCGTATTCAGAATAACGCATGCAATGTTATAACTTAATTGACAAGACAGATTTGTTTTTTTTCTCCTTTAACAAAGATAGGTTGCCAGGCAACGAAACATACGCCCACAGCAGCTAAATCGTCTGGGCAGTCAACAAGAGTTGTCGCATATTTTTACTTTTTTCGATAATAAAACATTTATAATACATTAAAATCTGATTAAGAGTAACAACTCATCAAGTAATTATCAGAAAACCATTAGAATTTGTTTGGTTTTTATAAAATTCTGCCCCATGCTAATGTTTAGTATACAAAACTTTTAACATAGTGGATTTAGCTGTTCAAGTCGTAAAGATTTATTGAAAATCAATATACTTGTTCGTCTCAAGACCTTAAACACTGTGTATAAATTTAAAGTCAATCTGATATTAACTTTAGCCTCTAGAGTGTCCACGAGATTTTTCAAAGTGATCAAGGGCCATAACTCTGGCAAAAAATATCGGAAATCGCTGAAAATCAATAGGCTTTTTCGTTTCATGGTCTTCAACACTGTATATAAAGTCAATCGGATATTAACTTTAGCCTGTAGAGCGTCCACAAGAATTTTCAAAGTGATCAAGGGTCATAACTCTGGCAAAAATTATCGGAAATCGCTGAAAATCAATAGGCTTCTTCGTCTCATGACCTTAAACACTGTGTATCAATTTAAAGCCAATCGGATATTAACTTTAGACTCTAGAGCGTCCACAAGATTTTTCAAAGTGATCAAGGGCCATAACTCTGGCAGTAATTATCAGAAATCGCTGAAAATCAATAGGCTTCTTCGTCTCATGACCTTGAATAATGTGTATAAATTTAAAGTCAATCGGATATTCACTTTGACCTCTAAAGTGTCCACAAGATTTTTGAAGTGATCAAGGGCCATAACTCTGGCCATAATTATTAAAAATCGTTGAAAATCAATAAGCTTCTTCGTCTCATGACCTTAAACACTGTATATAAATTTAAAGTCAATCGGATATTAACTTTGACCTCTAGAGCGTCCACAAGATTTTTTGAAGTGATCAAGGGCCATAACTCGGACAGTAATTATCGAAAATCACTGAAAATCATTAGGCTTCTTCGTCTCATGACCTTAAACACGTGTATAAATTTCAAGTCAATCGGATATTAACTTTAGCCTATAGAGCGTCCACAAGCAATTGTGGATGCCGGATCGACGGACGGACTGACGGACGGGGGCAACAACAATATACGACCATATTTCAATTTGTGGGCGTATAAAAATAAAAAAAATGGTTTGGTCAATGCAGAATCTCCAATGACTAATTTCCAATAGTTTTGTTTACATTGTTGGTAAAATAATATTCACTTACCTTGGGTCAATCATGATGGCCATATCAAGAAGTGGGCCTAGAGAAATTCCTAAAATATAAAAGCATAAATATTTATTACTAACTGAATGGTAGTCACACCTGAGCTGCAAGTGCCTACTATATTCCAGTAGTTTCCATGAACGAGCCTAATCTTACTCAATCCAGACTTGAACTTGTCCACAGAAGACGGGTGGTCTTAATCCAAGATGTGGTTAATCCAATAAATATTTTGGTTGTGTAAAAATGAAAACTAAACTTTATAGGGGGGGGGCCCCAGTGAAAATAAGGTTTTTGTTTTCAAGATGTTAACATAGACCCCAACAAATTTTTGATTTTTTTTTGTTCTAATACAATACCTGATAAGAAGGTGAAACCACCAAAGATAGCAATTCTCTTTCCCTGTGTTTCTTTACTGTGATGAATGGAGGCCAACCATATCATTAAACCAATGGATCCAATAGCTGTCAACAGACCAGCCTAAAATAATCAAAAAATATTTTCTATTAAATTTGTTCAAAACCATGAGTGAAATATGTTCTAGGTACATGTATATTTAAACATGCATTATGCAAGAGCTAAATCTGATTATTGCAAGTCTTAATTTAGGCTTCAGATGTTATAGAAATTATAAATTAGATCTTTATTTAAAAAACAAGACTAAAATCAACTCTGTAGACCCACGGGTGGCTCGGCTACAGCTCGGATTTAAATAGGATTTCACTAATTGATTAAATCAAATAAGGAGTAACCTGATGAAAATACGTCAGTAAGATCGAGGCTAAATGATAGAGTGCACTTAGCGAGGCCGCTGTAAAGCGTTTCCGTATGCCATTGAAAACTTTACTTGATAATCGAGATATGTAGGTGGAGTTAACGCCTGTCAATCAAACGATCGGCGAAGGTGAATACACATTTCGCTACCATTTCTAGGCAAATATTACAACGATGATAACTATGTTCAGAATAAAGTAATTTGACTGAATTTTTCAATATATTCTTCTTTCATCATCTACTTTTGAACTGTTATAGCAAGAATGGCCAACTCTCTATAAAAATCTCCCATAATGTATCTTTAAGTTTTCTAGTATGATCTTGGGGTAATGCGTCGAGTAGTAAGCTACAGGTAAGTCAAGAATTGCAGAATAACTCATTTTCTTTCATGAACATCTCAGTCAAGCAGATGGCATCTAAGTTAGATGTCATCTGCTTGACTTAGATGATTTAACCACAGTATTTTTATTTTTTTCATCATCTAAAGCTAAAGCAGTAATGGGATTTCAAAATTTTTCTTAATATCCTTAAATGACATTTAGAAACATTGCATGTACTAAACCACGAAGTAGTAAATCCATAAAGTTGTGTTATTATGAATAAAAAATTTCTTGTCGGACATTTTTATCGAAAATAAAGGGACATAACTCTTATCGTTATTTAGGCAGGCAATTTTAGACAACACACAAAAATCTTGTGTCAACAAAAGTACTATCTAAACACTAGTAATCCCCACAACTTGGTGCATTAAAGTCATCAAAAGGTACTTTAATTGAAGAAACAATTGAAACTAACCTGCATTAAGTTGGTGAATACATGAATATAGGCACCAACTGCTGCAGACAACATACCAATACCCAAACATCCATACACATTCTTTAAATGTTTCTGTACATAACCTTCCCTGAAAAACACCAAATCATCATCTTACTTTATATCTTCACATACAATTATTAATTCATACCACAATAGACAAAAAAGATAGAAAATAATCTGTTTTATTCTACTAAGGGACATGAAAATAACCTTTATCTCCCAATAACACATTCTACAGTGGATATAGCTTGTGTGATACAGTACACGGCTAGAGTTTCAGACAAAACGGCGGAAAAACACCAAGTTCCACGGGACATCCTTAGCGAATCGCTAGCGCGCCAAATCACAGAGTTTCGTGGTGAAACACTGTGAATCACTTGCGCGCCAATATGGTCCTGATTCTAGCATGTTGAAGAAAAATGTACTTTATTTAAGTTGAATATATGTATGTTAATCATCAGCGAGGAAGCTAGGGTCAAACTAATATTGGCTACAATAAATTTTAATGCTGCCGTGAAAACGTGTACTGGTACATGTATAATAATTCAACGTTCACCGGCAATCTATATCGGTTAAAATTTTGAACGTACATATATTACGTTTTGGCTATACAGTGTACATGTATGTTTCATATTCTACATAAATTTGATTGGTCAATTAAAAGGGATGGCAACAGTTGGGAGATAACTAAAGTCTTTTTTTATATAAAAAAAATATCAACACTCATCGATAAAGTAATAAATAACTCAGAAAAACCTTGTTCTTTTTTACATTATCAACTTGTGTTTATATAAAAAAAAAAAAAAAAGACTTGTAGGAGATTCTCTATGTAACCAACAGTAACATTCGAATTTTGATAAAAGTTCTAAGTCTTTTTGTTTAAAACGCAAAATGATTTTGAATACCCCTCATATGAACATTATTTGTAAAAGATCTATCGGCTGTGTTATTGGTTTGAAAATTGTGATTATCACATTTTAAAAAATGAACCAAAATTAAAGAGAACAAGAAAAGGAAATGTATCTTGGAAACTACTAAACAAAATAAAATAATTGGAAACCCCTCTTTAATTACCAAATATGGTGGGTTAAACTAAGAATTTCGAAAAGGTACAAAATTGTAAACACTAATAGCAAGTTTAATTTCACTGAAACTAATTGATGTGGTCTCCTCAATTAACTTGGATAATTACGTATACATTGTTATTTTAATACATACTAGAAAATCAATAAAGTGTAATCAGTAATGGATTCACCTCACAGTTTCTCATCATATGACCTATTAGTCAAACTGTGACAAAATGTACATTGTCAATAATTTATAATCATGAATCAATACGATCTATAAATAGAACATAAGCTTATTACTTTTCTAAGAAATCTCTGCTCTCTGTCTTATTATTTTCAAAAAGCGCACTCAAAATTAACCACAACAAAAACCCAGCAAATACCGGCATCAAAATATTTTTGCCAAAGCAGATCAAATAGATGTTCCAAGTGCTCATGTAATAAAACTGCATAATTTAGACCAAACACTTTGAGAAATTTATTTTAATAAGACATGATTAAGTTTAGATATGGGCAAACCATTAGTAGCCTCCTGAGTCCTAGATATAATCAAGGTGGCCAACAACACAAGCCATTGTGTAGACCAAAGAAAAGGTATAAAGTATAAATTTAAAAATAACTGAGATTTCGTATTTTATTAGATTCAATCGAGAACAGAACTACATGTATTGAACTCAAGAAAGATGGGTTTATAAATTCAAAAATATGACAGCATGTTATTGTTAGATCTAGTCAATATAAAATTGACAAAATAAAGAAAAAAAATTGAAGTAATAAATTAATTATGTAAAACCAATTTTAAAAAAAAAATGACTTTAAATAAATGTTTAAAAGTAAAAGTCGTGCCTTATCTTATCTTATTTATAGCATGGGTCATGGATGAGACGAAAAGTAAAGAACTGTTTTTCTTTAGACCTACGGTACTCGTGCAACAAATAAAAGTATTATTTAAAGGTTACCATAACAATATAGTTATTATCATTTATTCTTAAAATAGATCGTTTGAAAGTACACGTAGTTGATATTACAAAATAGATCTTTCTGGAGAACAACAATTCTACTTCGACGGACTACAACTAGTGACATACAAATCATGTATTGTAAATATTTCCGGGTTGATGTATTTTCCATATAAAATTATCTATTTAAACATTACAAAAACGTTTCAGATTTTAAATTTTAGAAACCGATTATCTTTGGGCTTTCTATGGAATAAATCATTCAACAAAATCAAACATATTTACTTACAAATTATCAAATTTGAAGAGGGCCTCTGGTAGAAACTCGTTCCTAGTCGCCATTTTGTTTTCTTCACTAATTTTCTAAATGGAGTTGTGTCCCCTTAAATTGACAACCGGTTGCTGTCAAAGTGCCACGTGTAATAAATAAATGTGGGAAGGTCAACGCGAATAGAAATATCTAAACCGTGTTGCAGCAGACAATTTGGATCATTCATTTCTTACATAATATAGTATGGGGCGCTTATCTATAGGCTATATGCCGTCGGCTTTATGACGTCACAATGTCCGTCGGTCCGTCAGTAATTTTTACATAATTTATAATTATCTGTACTGAGTGATAAAAACTTACCGGTGGTACAAAAGTACAAGGAAATTTTCGGAATTTGGCGATCTGTACGTATATAAGGCTGCCTATTCAGAAAATTTCTGAATTTGGCGATCTGTATAATTAATATACGATGCTGACAATTCAGAAAAATTTCTGAATTTGGCGATCGGTATAGGCCTAATAAGAAGCTCACAATTTTCTGAATTGTCATGTGCGCACATTATACTATACAGATCGCCAAATTCAGAAATTTTTTGAATTGTGAGCTTCGTTAACGATCGCCAAATTCAGAAATTTCCGGAATTGTGACATCTGTGCATATAAATTGTACAGACCGCCAAATTCAGAAATTTTCTGAATTGTGAGCGTCGTAATATTATACAGCTAGATCGCCAAATTCAGAAATGGTGTCACTTTCGGTGAATTTTAACTTCATTGGATTACTCTAAAAAAGAGACGACTCCTGTTGGCAATAAGATAAAATTAAAGAAGTTGGAAATCCGACCTGGTTTTGAAAAGGGAGATAATCGGAAAAAAATTGACATTTTTGACATAATCCTACGGTGGCTGGAAAAGGACATTCAAAAAGTTACGCTCATAATTTTAACCAACTATAATTTCAAGCTCACAATTAGGTCATGCGATTGCCTTAACACTGGTTGCAACCCGCGACACTGGCGCGCTCGCCATCATAGCGTCCGGAGGCCCCGCCGCGATTACCTGCCCGGGCTCCGATACCTTGACTATGAGAGCCTCAAACGGAACGAGGACGGACTGGGGTCTCACAGCATGAAGGCCCGGACAGGTGGTTTACAGTTTTAAATTCAACAATTTTTCCAATCCTACCCACGCCACTAGGTACAATCATTTAGAAAAGTCATCGGTTTTCTTCTACTTAACGATCAAGTACCAGTATATTTATTGTCCCCCGCCATTCGAAGAAAGCAGGGGACTATTAAAATGGGTTCGGCCGTCTGTCTGTCCGTCCGTCCGTCTGTCTGTCCGTCACACTTTTTGGGACACAATAACTCTCCTTCTAATTGAGCTAGAATGTTCAAACTTGGTGTAGGTGTTTATTAGGTCAATGCCTTGGTGGAGTTCGAAGATGAGCATTTTCGGCTTAGGGTAAGCAGAGATAAGCAATTTGATTGGTTGATGCTTTGGGACACGATAACATTAGTTCTAATTAAGTGAGAGAGATGAAACTTGGTGTATAGTTTCATTACATCAATACCTTGACCAAGTTCGATAATGGACATTTTCTGCTCAGGGTAAGCAGAGCGATAAGCAATTTGATTGGCCGAGACTTTGGAACACAATAACCCTCCTTCTAATCGAGCTAGAATGTTCAAACTTGGTGTAGGTGTTTATTAGGTCAATGCCTTGATGGAGTGTGAAGATAAGCATTTTCTGCGTAGGGTAAGCAAAGATAAGCAATTTGATTGGTTGATGCTTTGGGACACGATAACTTTAGTTCCAAATTAAGTGAGAGTGATGAAACTTGGTGTATAGTTTCATTACATCAATATCTTGACTAAGTTCGATGATGAGCATTTTCTGCTCAGGGTAAGCAGAGCGATAAGCAATTTGATTGGCCGAGAGTTTGGAACACAATAACTCACCTTCTAATTAAGCTTGAATGTTCAAACTTGGTGTGGGGGTTTATGAGGTCAATGCCTTGATGGAGTGCGAAGATCAGCATTTTCTGCTTAGGATAAGCAGAGATAAGCAATTTGATTGGTCGATGCTTTGGTACACGATAACTTTAGTTCTCATTAAGTGAGAGTGATGACACTTGGTGTATAGTTTCATTACATCAATACCTTGACTAAGTTCGATGATGAGAATTGTCTGCTTAGGCTAACGAGCAATACGCATTTTGATTGGTCACGACTTTGGAACATAACAACTCTTCCTCTAATTGAGGTAGAATGTTTAAACTTGATGTAGATGATCGTCTTGACTGAGTTCAATGATTAACATATCGAGCTAAAGCTAAGCAAAGATAAGCAATTTCCTGCTTTGGGACAAGCTATTTATTTGGGGATTTCGGCGGGGGACATCAGCCTCACTGTTGGCTTGTTTTTATTAATTTATACCTACACAAATATATTTTTTAAAACATTACTCGGCATACCTCTAGACCCCTCAAGGTCCCACCTATCCACGCCTCTCACAGGTCCTGCTCTATGGCGTCACAATGTCCGTTAGCCCGTCAATAATTGACTTGTGAACACGATAGAGAATAATGTCTTTAAACAGGCGTTATGCAAGATCATGTAAGACTACTGCTAGAATTTTTGCTCTTTTAGTTATTAGCATTATATTAATATTTTCTAATATGCACTTACATCAAACTGAGTGAATGAGTGACAGATTGTTATATAAAAAAGAGTATAATTTAGTCAACATTAGCTGGTTCCGTGGGAATGAGAATATCATGGTTAACACGACGTGTTCGGAAAAGTACTATTGCATCATTTGGCTTAATTAACCAATCTCCATAATTATTTACATCATATTTCACCAATTAGATAATTGAAGGTCCAAAACCCAAAGCTACAAAACAATCATATTTGTGAGCACTGGTCAGACAACAGCTTGATTCTAGAAGAAAAAAGATGTAGCAATTTCTATCAGCGAGTCTGACTGGATGGGGTTTGAGAGAATGACCTAAGTATTGTAATCTACTATGCTTGTATCTATGTATCCAGCTATGATATATAAAATGTAAAAACGGACTGCTGCATTGTTATTCCTGGTAAGACAAACGTCTTAACTACCGAGAAGACAAACGTCTTAACTGAGAAGACAAACGTCTTAACTGAGATAGATAAAAAGAAGTAAATACACAACGTGAAGTGGAAACAAAGACGGCAGGTGAAAATACGAGACGATCACAAGGCTACTAAGATATGTACGTCGTAGTAAGAAAAGATGCATGTGTCATACGTAGGATGTGGCGATCGGTATTAGTACGCGGGCCGCTTTCCACGTCTGACAGGCGACCCATGGTGCTACAAAGAGCCAATTTTCTCATTTTGCAAGTCTTTCGTTAGGCCTTAATGTTATATAAATTATTAATTAGACATTAATTAACATACCAAGACCGTAATCAACTCTCAATGCCATCGTATAGTCTAGATTTTCAAATAGATTTAAATACGTTTTGCGGTTGATGATATACCGTAAAAATGGATAATCGGGACTGTTTATTAAGTAACGGTAACAATTATAATCAAGGCTAACGAGGATAACTCTGCTCAGAGTGAAGTAATTTGACTGAAATTCTTAACATATTCCCTTTTCATTATCTACTTTTGAACTATTATAGCGAGAACTGCTAGCTCGTTATATATAGCTTACATAACGCCTGATAACGCCCATTTAACTGAGCTTTTACAAATTTCGCCATGAGACGAAGAACCCTATAGATTTTCAGCATTTGTGACGCCACGCTCCCCAGCCCCGTAAACTATATAATTTATTTTTCTCCCAACATAGTGTGAAGGAATAGGAATGTTAAAAGGTGATCCCTATTGATTTTCAAATTTGGTGTGAAGCATTGGAATCGGAGAAGATGAACGCAATTGTTGTTCAGCATTCTACCTAGAACTTTCTGTTTCAGTGAATACGTGTCCAGAAAAATCCGCTCTATAGTTTTATGTTCTCTGTTCTGATACGTTTGTTTGTGATTTTTGCGTATTGTGGCTTGTCCGTAAATTTGTCTTGTGTAATTGCTTGTGTGTGGTGCAGTCCCCGCACTTATGCACTTACTATTAGAGGTATTTCAAAATAAGAATTTTAAACAGCGCTCTTTACAAAATGAGAGTTAGACTCTCGTTCCCACCCAGTCCTGTAACATTTGTGGAATGTCACACCATTTACTAAAATAAACAGTCTACAATAATTTGTCCTTTGATATAAAAATATGGAAGTAAATTAAAAACAAAAATGGAATAGAACCGGATACAAAGTCAACCAATACAGAAGGAACAGTATGGGAGGTCGGTAAAGTATCAGGTTTCAGCCCAAACTTGCGTAAACTAAATTTGGATAGCCTGTTGTCAGGAACTTAATTGGATTTCTTTTTTTTTTTTGGCCTGGGGTTTAACCGTGACGCATCACTTTGGCACAGTCTATATCGGTAGTATTTATTGCGCATTCTCTCCAGATACAATCTGATTAAAACACAGATCCAATTTCGTTTCGTTTTTTATAGTTCAAAATTTCGTTTTACTTGTCTTTACTACACTAGGCAGTGTAGCCCATCGAAAGTATAAAACAAAACGAAACGAAATGTAGATCTGTATTTTAATCAGATTGTATCTGGAAAGAATGCACAATAAATACCACCGGTGTAGACTGGAATAACCAGACGCTAGAGATTGCCATTCGTTTGAGACTTCTCGCGTATTTCGCCGAACATAACTGGTTTGAAATTAGAATAAAAAGGGAAACGATTGAATATAAATCACTTTATATACATTCATATTACATTATTATATGCCTTGCGACCCATTTGTATCATTTAGTGATTTAGCTCCTTTAAGCGATTTTGTTTGGCTAGTGGGGTAGTTGTGGACCATGAATTGACATCCAAATTGGGTGTTTACGACAATGTTCGATTAAACGAGATCCGTGCCAGGTGGTACTAGTGCCTTCTTAAGCATAGATGTTGGTAGTTATCACTTCTGAAGAACACTAAAACTAGGTTCTAGTATTCGATGACTCCATCCCCCAAGAATGAAATGTTTGCGTCGCATTTCAATTAAAGTCGAATTTCGCGCCAAATCGGTGATGCGTGACGGCTAACCCCC